ATAGCTAATAATATAATATTAAAATGAATGCAAGAGTTAAATTAGTCCTTTGTCCAATATCTCATTAAGGAATAAATCATGTGGTGCTGCATGTTAACCTTTGGACTTCTGTACTGTTGAGTTGGAAAAGTGTAGACAGTTATAAATGAGTGTGGAACAAGGGTCCAGTGCATGGGTGAATCATAAACTAGGCAATGAGCAGCCAAAAACAAACTTATTTTAGTGGGTTCACTGTGAATAAAATCTCCTCGGACAATGAAGACTTTTTTACATATTGACATTTCCAGTTGACAATCTAACCAATAAATCTTTGACGAATCAATGAAATGGAAAAACGTTGTTATACGTGTACTTTCATGGCAATTGTTTTATTAGCACTAGTGTTTGTCCAAACATCCTTCTATGGGTCACGTAAACGGGAGACAAGTGGATCTGACCTTCAGATGATACTTCTGGACTCTGTGTCCACAGTAGAGCTACTATAACAATCACACATCGCTCAGATAACTTTGATGTTTATGACAATCAATTTAACGAGAAACTCTTTCATACTAAGGCAGAACATTCAGTTACCTTTAAGCCCCTTGTCCAAAAACATGGCTGGTAGGTTAAACCGTTTCATGAAGGCCTGATTCTTCAGTCTTATTAATTCAGCTCTGAAGAAACCACAGGAAAACATGACAGTGATGTGAACACATGGTTGTCTGATCCTTCTTAGCTCTCTTTATGACTGCAAAAACAGAGATTCCAAAGTACTCGATCCTTTTTAGTGTTTGCCTAATAGCAGGCTTGTCTAGACCGTGTTGGTTACACATTATTTGATTCCTCATACAGAGACAAAGTATATTTACCTCATTACTGTACATGGGTAGCTTTGGTAGGATCTCTTTGCATCAATAGTTGGAGACACCTAGATTTTCCCAATGTTTTTAATTTTAAATAAGCAGGTTTTTCTTGTGTTTAGCAATACTTAAATAGCATATTAAAGACTAGCTATGCTTATTTTGGGGAAAACAATTACGTGTAAATATTGATGACAATATTACTTTGGGAATAATGCCAAAGCTCACATATTTTATCCCCTTGTTGTGACGTCAGGACTCATTAGCACTCAGACCTTTCACCTGTTTAGATTTTAAATAAGTGCTTTTAATAATAGTCTGGAAAATAAAACTGTCAGATCATTATTGGACAAATCCTCCCTTCATACCAAAGAAGACACAGTGATCAAAATGAATGCTGCAAAGCATATTCAAAGTATTGATAAATAGGTTTTTTACGTTAATTAAACTTTTGCAGGTATTTTTTCTTACTTAACTTGTATGTTTCTTGAGAAATTCTCTTTCAGATTACTTGTAGTTGTTCTTCCTCACTGTCTTTTTGGGGAAGAATCACTTTCACATTACACTTTTTCAAAAACATTTAGTTACACCAAACAATAAGATTTCTTCAGTATAAATAAAAAATAAATCAGTTATTAAATACATAAACAAAGCTGTGGGCAGATTTTGCTTACAAACAAAGGACCTTCATCATCTGTAGTAGCAAGCTAATTTGGACATGGAATCTCTGATTTATATGACAACAGTTTTATTTGACACCAAATAAAAGGCTTGTTGTCACATAAATCAGGGAGATTCCATGTGTGTGACAGATTCAGTGAACTGGGTCAATTTTACAGCAGAAAAAAAGTGGGTAATTTAAAATTTTCACCAGAATTTGGAATTATTGCAAATAGTTGGAGCCCATTTCGCTCTGTCCCCCCTGGCTGTGCTGGTGTTCCTGCTACAGGTCATTGCTTTTGCAGATAAGACAATACCAATTACTGAGGTGGAAAATTGCCCTGACCTGCCCTAACCTGTTCATGTTTTTCCATGAAAATAGCTTACACTGACTGCCCAACTACCTGTCAAAGGAGAGTTCAAGGTAACCATGTTGTGTAAAGCAGAGCTGTGAATTAAGTGAATGCAAAAAAATATATATTAATGTTTTAAAAGAAGCATACAAACTTATTAGTAGGTAGAATCTGTTGTCATGCAAGAGACTGATGTTGTGCAACTGACACTTCTTTCTGTCTCATATGTCATTGTACATTCACAGTGCATCTCTTATTCAGTATGACTTAGCGAACACTTTGCTAAGAACCTCTAAAAGATGTAAATGCATGTTAATTAAAAAAGCCCTCTGCGAAGTGTAAGCATGCTGAAACAACGGCACACTCAGCTACTGTTATTATTATTAGTCCACACACAGGAAGAGTGCTTGAAATTTCTGGGAAAACAAGCTCAAATGTAAACATCCCTGTTCATCTGCCACAGCTGGAAAGGCAGCCCACTCAGCAGCAGGACCTCGGCCAAATGCACTGTAAAGCCGGAGCTAAAGCTCAAGGTCTGTAGAGGTTACTTTTACCAGCAAGTGGCAGATCTGAGATCAAGTGCAAATGAATGTAAATTAGAACAGACACATGCTTTTTCAGATGAGGTCTGAAACTCTGAGACTATGGTAATGATTACTCGACTAATACATGGTAGACTACAAAAGGCTACTTTTAAGCTATCGGAGAATGTCTGTTAATCATTTTATGGACCTCCTGTCCTTAAAATCATGTGTCAGGTGATTTCCTATTACATTCAAAACAAGGTCACACAATCAAAACAATGGCTAAGGCACTGATGTTTTAGTATCTGAGGTTGATCATTAGCAAATCTTTAAGTACAATTATTACAGTAGCACAATGCCAAGAATAACTTTGGAACAGCAGCAATACAAGTGAACTATGTGATCTTCAAAAATCTGTGAACATTTGTTGTTTGTTGTGGTTGATAATAATAATAATAATAAATAAATAAATACTTGTAAATAAAAATAATAACTAAGATAAATTAATACTTATAAATAAAAATACTACTACTATTACTACTACTACTACTACTAATAATAATAATAATAATATTTTGTGGTTGTTGTTGTTGCTGCTGTTTTTGTTGCTTCTGCCTTGTTACATCATTTACTAATCACCTATATTTTCTTACTATGCTCAATTGTCAGCAAACATAGCCCACATTTATAGCCTGACTGACTGAAAAAGACCCCTTGCTACTGGATCATCAGTGACCTGCTCTCTTATATCTGTTTGATTTCCGCATCTCACATAATGAGAACCTGTACTGTTTTAAATGTGCGCTCATAACAACATCATTATCATGGTAGCACCATATAAATTCCGGGTAAAGAGTGTGTCCGCTGTTCCGTCTGAACGACTGCAGAAATGATGGCGAGCAGCGCTGCGCACACCTGCGTACAGTCACTAATCACGTGCGAGTGCGGGAGTGACGGCGAGACGTGGCTGGGTTCACGTACTGAAGACGTGCGCGTGGCCAGGGTGGGCGGGGTTTTACGCCTCCGTGTATTCCAGACTAGTCTAGGAACAGCCACAGGCGCGCGGCAGGAGAGGAGAACAGTGGCGGTTAGCGGACTGGGTCGGCGTGGGCGCGCTGTAAACAACTAAATTGTCCATCTGGCGTTTGTCCAGTGGCAACGAACTAACTGTACACTGTAAATATGAGACCTGTAAGACTGCAGAACATTGTAATAATACTACAAATAATAATAATAATAACACTTTACATAACATACTGGTATAAACATCAACTATTGTATATATACAATACAAACATACTTGTTTAGCTTGTGCAATCAAACAGGCTATGAAGGAAAGGTTTTCAGCACAGTGGACAAGATGGTCAGTTTCCTAAGATGCTAATCTCTTAGACAGAATGCAGCTGTGCTAACATCAGCCTGAGACATATTAACAGTGGTCACAGTGTAAAAACTGTTCAATTTGTAGCTATCCATTCTCCTAAAATGAGATTAGTCAACGTCAAATTTGTTTATATAGCACTTTTTACAACATGCGTTGTCACAGCAGCCTTACAGAAAATTCAGGTCCAAGCCCAAATCCGAGTCCAAGCCCAAGATTAGACTAATGAAGAACATGATGATACATGTACGCCAATCCCTCTCACAGATCAAGCCCAAATGAGGTATTCTGCATGTGGAATGTGGAATTATCAGGGTAGCCTATAGAAGACTTGTAAAACCTGAGTGACTGGGTTTAACTTTTTTTATTAGCCTTGGTCGCTTAAGGGGATCTACCTGCTTTAGTATGTCTACCATTAGGTCAAAAAAAACAAAAAAAAACAAAAAGCAAACAGTCATCTGTCATTCTCATAACCGTGATATCCCTTGCTGGGATGAGAACAAACATGATTGTGTTGCTGAGCTTTAAGACAATATACTGTGCTTAACTGGTGAAAGACATTGTGGGAGGATGATTGTAGTGGATTCGGGCTTCACACCAGAAACCTGATTTTGATTCAAGACCTGCATGGAACAACAGGCATGATAGTTTTGAAAAGAAGGCTGGTATGTTCTTGCTCTTCCTCTGACCACTGATACCTGCACTTGTACAAGATGCAAACTACATACATATAAAACATATAGGGACAATGTATCTTTTGAAATGAGATAAAAGTACCTGCAAATGTTTTTTTTAACATTACACAGGTATTTACTAACACACCTTTACTTTTTGCAATGCTCAGCCTCATTAAAGTATCTTCCTTGGTATGAAGAGCACATTTGCCTAAAAAATGAAGTTTTCCAAAGTGTAGTTAAAATATAAAGGCCTTTTAAATATCTGAAAGGTTTGAGTGCTGATAAGTACTGACCTCCCAGCAGAAGGCTAAAATGTGTGGAGAATACTATAACTCTCAAGGTAAGACTTTGGCCAGCTGATCCTTCAAATGTCAAGATCTTTGTTTTCTATATAATATGTTAAATTATTGCAAACCAAAAAGAAAACATTCTCATTTGTGAACTACATTTTGAAAAGTTTCTCCAAGGTTACTGCAACATGCAACCTCCACATCAATTTAAGAGATACATCTGCATTAAAAAGAGCCTTATTATTACTCTTACTCCTTTAAAACCATATATGATCACATGTCCTCCTAGAAAAATGAGAAAAATGGAGAGGAAGCATAGGCAACAACCAAACAGTGTTGCTCCAAGCTCACCATCACAGTCACATGTCCAAACTGAACGTTTGCCCACTTGACTCCTTCTGTAATCTCTGCTGATTGGTCAGTGGGATGGACAGAGGGGGTAGTTGTGTCACAATCTAGGTCGGCCATCAGTAATCCCATAAACTGAAGGAATGCCGTAGGATGTAGCTGTGAATGCTGACGGCACCCGCTTTAGCACCCACAGACGTCTCCTGACCAAATCCACAATGACAGTAGCTGCACCACTGCATGTCGTTAGGATTTCATTATTTCTTACTGACCCAACAGTCCAAACCTGTCACTTCTGTCACGATTCACTTCATCATTTCCTTATTATTATCTGACCCCGTAATTTCATGGAACTGAGGAACATATTTGCACACAGTCATCTTCCATTTAAGATGTTTCAAATGTTTCATGTCTAACCAATAAGATGACAGTGTGGTTACAGTAATATCTAGCTTTAAGTTTCACAGCTATTCTGTAAAGGAAGGTTCTTCATGGACCTATTCGACTAAATTACACTGCCAGTGGGGATTTGTTATAAAAGGCCTGTATCAAGGAAAACCAAATTTCCCTTTGCTTTTTGAAAAAATGTATTGTTGTTAAAGTTTCTGAATGTACTGTTCACTCCTATCCATGCGACCCATAGCTGGAAACTACGCTGCAAAAAAATGGCCTGCTTTGAACATACTGTTTCTGTGATGTCAGAGAACCAGCTTATTTACATATATCCACTTATTCAGTCTACAGCAGTTTAGCCCCGCCCACTTATCTTGAAGTTCTTAAGAGTGGTCCAGCTCAGACTTTTTGAATTGAGACGCAATACAGGGCAGTCAATCAGAACCAAGCCCATTTATATTATTTCAGTTTTAAAGGCACAGTGACAAAAACAGCCTGTTTAATCCTAAGGGATAAAGGGAGGTTGGAAAAATGACCATGTAAAAATGAAAAAATTACCATTTTTGTTACATAAAACCATACAAATGTTGTAAGTGGACCATAAAGGAAAAGTATAAAATACAATAACTTCTGATGGTGGCGTTCTAGTTTTGACAGTGTTTAGTGTTGTAGTATGTGATTTTGGACGCAGCTTCAATCTTTTCTTGACACACAGTAGACAAAACTTCTGCCCCACAGCTGCCTGGCTCAACGTTTCTCACACAGTCCATACAGTCCGCAAAGGAGGTAAAGGGCATCAAGGTGAACATGTAGAAATAGCTTTTTAGAGCAAAAGCAAACGGATTTCACCTCCCTTATATTTACCAACCTCGGTCTTTGCACAGCTAGTGGTCGGTCAACCTGGTGACACTGCATCCTCATTACACAACAATGAACCTTAAAAGCAGAGAATGGTGCAGCCAGACAACAGCAAAAACTTCAGCATAATAGCTAAGCATTAACTTAGCAACGTAACTTATTTTTGACTCAGTAACTTTTTAAAAAATCTATTAAAAATGTGCCTGCATTTCAAACCATAACACTGAACACTGTGCTGATAAGGTCCTCTGAGTAGCCTAAGTACTGTAGTCACTGTAACCCTGTAAATCTGCTGGAGCTGACGGCGTTTTAATGGGCTTAAAGCGTTTTTAAATCGGACTGCTTATTTATGCTGAGTCTAGTCTGCCATTTTAACTGAAGTCTTGCATTCTTTTACCTTTTACTGCCACCATGTGGAAACAGGAAATATGGCAACTGATGGTCCAAAGTGGGGGAAACTCAGCCGCAGTCATTATTGCTAACACTTCACTACCCTGCTGACGCATTGTTTGCATGTTGTCTAAATTTTTGTCATGTGTCATTATAGACCTTTTTCATGGAGGCGTGTCGCTGTAGAACAGACTTCTAAACTGAAAAACACCCTAAAATAATAGTTTGGATATTGTTTTCAATCATAAAACCCATTTTGTTACAAATACATGTATAAAATGATTCTAACATAATGCTAATATTCTATAGGTGACAAATAATTTGTAGAAAGCTGTAAAATGTAAGAAATATTTAATGAACTGAGCTGTAAATGATTAAGTAATGACCAATAAAGCTGTATAACACAGAATAAACTTAAAATACAGTTAATATCCAGGATATGTCTCATATTTGTAAAGTGGTGGCTGATCAAATAGCTGTTCATAGTAAATTTTGTGATAAGATATTACTATACATAGATATTTACAGTTGCTAATAGCAAATAATTTTAACCCTGCTAAAAACAGCATGGACCAGCATGGCAGCTCACCAGCAAAACCAGCATATGTTATGTTTTGAATACTGCTATGCTGGTCAACAGCAATGGAAGCTGCAAATGCTGGAATTCATGCTGGTCTAAGCTGTTTCTTCTTGTTTTTCTTGGAATACTTTAAATTGTTGATAAATTATCAGTTTACATTTTGTTAGGTAAAGTACAACATTTCAATCTACACTGTAGAAGGTATTACTGGATGAGTATTAATATGATTTGGTGTGCTGATTAGTGTAGTTGATTTGGTAGTGTATTTATGTAGCCTATTTAATTTATATCGGAACAATGATAGAGTGTTCATTTATTTGGTTTAACTTCCCATTCCATGGACATATTGTGTAAAAGAAGAAAGAGACTGGTGGAACAATATTATGTATGTAGTATGGGCGATTAGAGAGGAAATCTGCACATACTGCATTAAATCAGACCTTTACTCTGCCAAAATAACCAAAAATTACATACAGTTTTTCATGTTGTTGAGGAAAATGCAGATCAGCGTCACAGTTATAAGTAAACCAGAAGAAACCAAAAAACTACCACCACACATTAAAAAGCCCACATAAACAAGGCCTAAACAGACCCTCTCAAAAAGATCTGCAGTAACACTATAAGAAATTAAAAAAATTCCTGTAGTGCTGCATTAAACTTATCATTCTCCCCTCTTTCAGTATTCCTGTAGTACTGTTTTTCAGTAAACTGTAATACTTGTGTAGAATCCTTTAGTAAACTGTACTGATTGTCCAAATTCACTATAAGGTTTTTAAAGGAATCCTTTAGAAATTCCTCAAATATTACTGTTGATCTTTTTCATTCTTCAAAGTGCAAATTTATAAGTTGTATATCCTGGTCATTTACCATCTCAGATATCTCAGATTGTGTGAAAATGGAGAAGCGCTTGAGAGCCTGCTCAGGACAGTCTGATCATATGAGAGCTGGGGTGGACACAGTGCATGATCGAGTGCAGCAGATAAACCCTTTCCCTCTGCAGGGAACCTTGAGAGTCCTGTCACTGCTGAACTGTACATGTAATAGGGGTGTGTAAAGCTGTAAAACAGATTTCCTATGGACACATGGCTGCTGGCTGCAGCAGTCAGTCTGTAGTCACACAGGTCTCCTCTGTCCTGACCGGATGGGATCCTCGGTTGAGCGTGGTCATCCTTCTTCAGCAATGATTCTATTGAAAACGGGCTGCTGAATTTGATGGCACGATTGCTCTCCTTGCTGCCTGAGGCTGGTGAAGGAGGATCTAACACAGTTCCACTTTCACATTTACCCTGCCCTTGAGGGATGAGGCTGGGCAGCATAGCCGTCATGTCACTAAAGTGGCGGCGCAGCATCTTTGGGGTTATGCAGCTCTCGTCCACTTTCCAAAAGTTCCTTTTAGCATTTGGAGAGTCTGGATCAACTGGCACCTGAAAGGAAAACAGATGGTTGGAGTTTATATGTTCACTCATGCGAATTAATAAAAACAGAAACACAGGTTATGTTAAATGTCTTTTGGTTCATTTGTTCTCTGAGCTTGCTTGAACATAAAACTTATACATTAAAAAAAACAAAATCTAGCTAAAATTAATCTAAATTCACTTTGATGTTTTGGTCATATGAGCCACTGGTATTTAGCCAAATTCAGTGCTGATTCTCAATAAAAGTTTGAAAATTAAATGTAACTCAGAAATTCAATTGGGCACTGTTAGATGTTCATCCAAAGTGTAACTATACAGAATTGCACCACTTTAGACCAGTCAGGACAGTTTCCATGGCATTACTTATCATATTAAATTTAGCTGATGGACATGAATAAGTTAGGCTAATAAACTTACTCACCTTGACAAAGCATTTGTTGGACGACAGGCAGACTCTGATGTTGTTTTCCAGACCCTTTTCTGTCCCCAGAAACAAATACGCCAAGTTTCTCCATGATCTGTAAAAAAATGGGTAAGAAATTAATTCACACGCTTGGCCTACAGTGGCCTTTTTATCAAGCAACAATCGATAATGATCATTTACCTGTCTAAATGTGAGCATCTTGTTTGGAGAATCTTGAATGACATATGCGAGGAGTCCAACATATGTTGCTTTCGTGTATCTTTTGTATTTTCGTCTCTGAGCTCCTTTGGACTCTTCCTGCATCGGCCTAAAACCCGCACACATGGCTTTGGTCATGACGCCGTGCATGGCAGACAGAAGAAGAGTGGATAGAGAGGACGGGGGGATTCACCTTTATATACACTGAGAGGACTACAGTAAGAGAATACCTGTACATTCTTTACTAACTGCTGTTGTTCCAGACTCTTATGAGGTGTTAATATGGGGGCGGCGCCTTTAACGGTCCATCATGTCTCTATAGAGGCCCTGTATCGGCATATAGCCTCACCTCCTTTCATCCCTCATTTGTTTACCTTTTATGCTAATATTATTTGGGCGAGGAACGCACACTGAACGAATAGCTAGGTGTTTGGAGACACCTAGCTTTTCGAAATGTTTAATAAATGAACATGTTTCGTCAGTTTAGAACGGTTTAGACAGTTTAGACTATGAAACAGAAAACGTTTTAGATCTTGTCATTTTTACTTTAGAGAATAATGACATACTCGACGCACTGTAAAAAAAATGTCAAATCGTCATTACGTTCAAATAATATGGCAATAGTTGAAGCAACATATACGTTACCCAAACTTGTGACTGTTTTATGGTAAAAAAAAAATCTGCATGTATTTTTTTTTTACTTAATTAAAGATAAAACACTGGTGCGAGTAGTAAAAAAGGTGGCAGTTGCACCTGAACTGTTGACGGGCTTTAGCCCTTTCTAAACTTTATCTCTCATCATAGTCTTAAAACTTAAAAACCCAGGTTTTGTGTGTTGGGATGGAAACTCATGAGCAAAACATTGTTTTAGCGATTTTTCCTTTTAGAAAACCAGCTAACCAGCAGATGATTAAAGAAGCCCAAACCAGCCAGAGGCAGAACATCCACTTTCTCCCTACCTCCTACATAGTGCACTGCGTAGGTCTTAAAATAAAGATTCCTGCACCCAGACCATGCATGATTTGTCTAACACAGAGCTCCTCGTGATTCAGCCACATGTGCACAATTCCCTACCCGACATATACAATACTATTCGAGAGCAGAAGCCAAGATTTAGGGTTGTAGGGAGCTGTGATGCAGCCTGAGTGAACTGCATCTGCTGTCTTTAGGTAATGTATTCGCAGAGAAGCGCATATTTACATGTAATGCGCGTATTTTGTGATGTATATGGTCGCTGAGTTAGTAATGTGCCGCAGTTGGCACCTATTTGAGGTGATTAGCGAGTTGTGTTTTCAGTTAATATGGAGATTAAGGTTGGAATGCAGCCGATCAGAGCCCGGTACTAAAACACCACTCTAAATTCCCTCACGGACTTGTATGAACTGTGACACACGCTCTACGAAATAAAGCAAATGGACGAGGATAGAAAGCAACATTTCTGAGCTTTTTTCTGCATGCTATCATTATTACCGCTAAAAAGCATTTAGTTAACGTAGTCTATGTGTTGAAAATATGTATGAAGAAGGCGTGTCTTCAGAATACACCGTTATCACTCCGTTAAGAGAGGGATGTGTGTATACGGGCTGTTACTGGTAGGCTGAGTTTTCACTGACTCTCAGCTTTAATGTTAGCTGTTCATTCGGTGATTTAGATGCTAATTCACTACGCAGATCTCAGCCGTGTTTGTGGGGAGTTTAATCCATGTAACGTCTCTAAACTAATTCGGACGTATTAATTTTTTATTCTATTATGATCAATTTCGTGTCACTTTGTCATGCTATTTTATAAAACATCTGAATTTCAGCAATTCTCAATTTTAATTCCAGTTTTAATCAGGTTTCTCGAGGACTGATGTGAATAATAATAATATTTAAATAATTAGAAACTAAAGCTAATAAAAACAGTGTATAGGACGTCTGTAATTTGCCAATCAAACGGTCTGGTTGCAAAATGTTTTTGAGCTCGAAAATTATAAAATCTCGAGAAAACTTACAAAATTGATTTTTTTTTTATTTTCATTTTATGTACTATTGCAAGTTATTGAAAATTGCTATTACTAAAATGTTGTTGGCTTCAAAATTCCCTTTCTTGTTTGTGAGCACATACTTTGTTTTTTATCTGCTCAGAGCTGTGACAACATTCAGTCTATCTGTGATATTCAAGTAATCAACATTTTGTTCATAATATCCAGGGGTCCCAGGAATTATTTTTGAAAACTTATATACTTTACTTGTTACTACTTATTTTTTCTCTTTGGTTACACTTTGCAGAACATGAAGATGGGTATTGCAAATATACAAAATATTAGAATGTAGTTGTTTTATGTTAACAGTATATGTTAATTTAATTAACTTTCCTCACATAGTTTAGGTATAGTATTAGGTATTAGCTCAAAATGGTGAGCTGCCATAGCTATCTGTCATGGCCCTTCTGACTTATCTTTTACAAAAGGTGCTAGTATTTGTGGAGAGGCTTCCTCCTTAAACATCTCATTTCTGTGGAATTAGCAGCACAGCTTTCATCAAATAAATTTTTCCTTCACTCAGGATGTCACGTTGCATCATGAGATTTTATTAACATGCAAAAAAAGAGCTGAGGGAAGACTCCACATATGCATTGAAAGGAATTTGTAATTTTAAAGGTTGTCGTGGATTCTGTGTTAGGGTGAGCTTACGAAGTTCTTTCATTAAAAATGTTATCTGTTCTGCAGTGAGGAAAATATTTGGAAATTAAGCCTAATATGTCTGAAACTGTCACAGCAGTGAAAAGATCAGCAGGGAATCAGTGAGATCAACATGTTCTTAGCATTTACTGATAATTGAGTTCTTGTACAAATGAGACGGGAGATAGATATACAAATAATAAAAATGCCGTTATTGAGAGTTTGCCAACAACAAATAACTAAACAAACACTGCCTGTGTTTTTTATGCAATTGCTGCCAGGTAATCCTTTACTTCAGCAGGCGAGAGTCTCCGAAATCCAGCCTCATTACAGATTGTCATGGATTCTGTGTGAGGGTGAGCTTACGAAGTTCTTTCATTAAAAATGTTATTTGTTCTGCAGTGAGGAAAATATTTGGAAATTGTGTGAGTACGTCAAGGATCAACAGACATGTCCAGTGGATGAGGTGTATGCAGTCTTCATATCAAATGAAAGAAGAACAGTGAGTAGTCTGGTTAAATCTAATTAAATAACATGTTTGTTTAAAATCCTCATTTTAATATTGCTTTTAACCTCTGTAATGCAGATCCCTATTTGGAAGCAAAAATCTAGTAGAGGAGATGAACCAGTGATCTGGGTAAGCAGGTCTCTTTGCAAGAATGCAGAAAAATAAACTGTGAAGTTTAATTTTAATCCATTTATTCTCTATAATAATTTCTCCACATTTTAGGATTACCATGTTGTGTTGCTGCACTTGAATAAACAAGGACAGGGCTTTATATATGACTTGGATACAACTCTCCCCTTCCCGTGTCCTTTTGACGTGTACTCAAGGGAAGCCTTTCGGTCCGATCTGTTCTTAAAACCTGAATTTAGAAGGTAAGTTTAATGAAAAGGATGAGAACTAAAATTTTTCACTCAAGTCTGTGTTGCAAGTTAATTCACATTTTGTCCAACATGTTTACTACTTTAAGGAAAATGCGAGTGATACCAGCTGTCACCTACCTGCAGAAGTTTGCTTCTGATAGGTCTCACATGAAGCATTCTAATGGGACATGGCGCATGCCTCCACCCTCATATCCTTGCATAGAAACGGCAGGTAAATAATTTTAAATTATCTAAAAAAAACACACTGAATGAAATGTGTTGGTACTTGTCTGTAACAGCTTATTAATATTTTTTTTGTAGAGTCCAAGATGAATCTTGATGACTTCATCAGCATGGACGCTAATGTGGGCTGTGGTGAAGTTTATAAACTTTCTGACTTTGTGCAACACTTTGGGGCGAAGTGACATATTATCTATGCAGAGTCTGCAATGAAGTCATGCTGAACCAGGACACAGAATTGAGAGTTACAGGGAAAACTCCACCTGATTCAGTGAACAGTGCACAAACATGTCTGATTCCACTGCTGCTATCCTCTCTCAAATGTTCAACATATCAGACATTTCTCATTCCTCAATGACAATATTCACTACTCAGCGCACATCATTTGGTTATTGCCAGATGTTAAATGTCCAGATTTATTTTTTTTATGATTAGTGGGTCCTATGTACACAGCACTGTTGATCTCTAGGCCTTTATATAACAATTGTCTTTGCTACTGTTTTGAAATTGCATCTTTAAGGAGTCATGTGAGCCTAATAATGCATGTCTGAAACTGTCACAGCAGTGAAAAGATCAGCAGAGAATCAGTGAGATCAACATGTTCTTAGCATTTACTGATAATTGAGTTCTTGTACAAATGAGACGGGAGATAGATATACAAATAATAAAAATGCCGTTATTCAGAGTTTGCCAACAACAAATAACTAAATAAACACTGCCTGTGTTTTTTATGCAATTGCTGCCAGGTAATCCTTTACTTCAGCAGGCGAGAGTCTCCGAAATCCAGCCTCATTACAGATTCCCACTTCAATGTTATCTTCAGTCATTTGACCCTCAAAACTTTCCTGTGGAAGGATTCACAAGATACAGTTTAGACATAGCAATGTATGAAATTTGAGATATTTTGTGCATTCCTAATATCAGAAGTAGCTATCAGTGTTATAGTTATCCAGATACACATTTAGATAATGACAGGTTAAATGGTTGAGAACAGACCTTCAAGGTCAAGATGGCTGTGTGTATTGCATCTTCAAGTTCTAGATCCTCGTTGTATCTGGAATTAAATAAAATGAAAATAAAAGACATTAGCACTGAAGTGATGTATTTCAACTTTATCTAGCAGCAGACGGCACAAACACAAAGCTTAAAGTGACAAGTTTGTGTTGGGTTAGTTGTGGTTTGATAATGTTCAAATAATACCAGAAAATGCAGCATGTATGATGTATAGTTCAGACAATCGACTTACTTAAACAGACTTATCCTTTTTTTTTTTTTTCTTAAAATGTCTTGGTGATTTTTAGAAGCAACAGATTATGATTCTACCCAATGAGGGTATGTATTAATCAATGTATTAATACAGAGCTACTGTTTGATCTACAGCTCTAAGTTTCAATGAGCCAGTTAAAAGGGAATTGCACATTTTTCTAAATCACCATTAAACCAGTTAATGTAAATAAAATAATTCTCAGTGGTTTGATGTGAAATGCACTGTTCTAGAGCAACTTACAGAGTTAGAATTGTTCACATAGGTGGTGATAGGAAGCAGACATCTCAAATTGTTCAATGCCTCTAAAAGCTCTCACAGAAAAATATTACATGACAGTGTAATGAATACGCTGCCTGATACATTGACAAATGTAGGATACATGGTAGTTTTGCATAGCAAATGAAATATTTTATATGTGCGTTGTAGTAACCCCTGGTTCCCAGCACCGCTGTAAAGAAATCTGAGTTGGTAAGTTTCTCTACAGTGAATTATTTCACATCAAACCACTTTGAATGACAATCTCAAGGATTCAGTTATACACAAAATTAGAAAAATTGGATTCCCCTTTCACATAAGCTAAATCATAGTTATGTAATGACGTAATATAGTTGCTTAGTAGTAAACAATTGGGTGACATGCTCCAGTCACAAGATCTCTTTTCCCCACTGTGTAAATTTTGAACGAGACATGTTACAATCTAAAACATAAGTAAGCCATGCAGATTTAAATCCATATACTTCTTAAATGCTTTATTAAGTAAGAAAAGTGTTAAACGTTAGCCCCCAGCAATGGATATTGTCTTTATTGGGCTGAAAAATTTCAAAGTAAAGTTCTTCCTCTGTACCTCTGTTCACATACACTTAAAAAACAAAAGCAAGATGACCCGTCATATTATGGTTACAAAGTGTCTTCTTACTGTCTTTATTACCTTTTCTCAAGGAATGTTTTTCCATTCACATAGTTCTTTCCCATTGCTGTGGCTTTCCAGGCAAAATATGCTCCCTACAGGAACAGCAGGATAGAAACACAAATTACACACCAATCTTTATTACATACACATTGTTATATGATAAACTGAAAAAGAAACAAGTGAGTCACAACAAAATGTGTGCATTTGAGGAGGATTTATCTTTACCGATGGATCAGACTGAAAGAGGTATGGTCGGTCCTCATCCCAACCAGCAATGAGCAATGAGACTCCAAATGGACGTACACCTCTATAACATAAATAAATAAATAAAATAAATACATTCTGAATCATACAAATGCTACATAGCACCACATTATATGTATTCATATGCATACACTGTTAAATTATTAAAACATACCCCGACTGTGTGTATTCCTGCATTACAGAAGCGACTCTCTGTACAAGCTGGCCTGTGGGAATGGGCTCTTGGTATACCAGGTAGTACTGCTGGGCCAGTTTTCTGGCTCTTCTGACCAGGACCCTGTCATTAAAGAGTAACACTGAATACCGAACATGGTCATCCAAATCCAGTGACTCACTTAACTAGGTAAGGAACCTACTATCTGACAATGCTGCTTAAAAACAATGGGGAGCTAAATAAATGCTACATAAACAGGAATGTAGGATTATTGAATACCTGTAGTCAGGACCCATACCGCTGTACACCATGCCAATGTGTTTAGTTATTGGCTCGACTTTGTGAACACTCTGCTCATCATAAAGTATGGACTTTTGTTTCTTCTCTGTTGCCAGCACCACCCCATTGGAAGCTGAACAATGAGGAAGAAGTAGTCAAAACCATTGCCTCACATGTCATTAAACTGTTTTAACATGAAGCACATCTGTGTAATAGTAATTGGCCACCGTGGGGTTTTTCAGTTGATCCTCAAAGACAAAAAATTTAAGGAAAGACAGAACGTCCCTAATGCTTGTGGGATGTAAAGCAAGTATTTACCTTTGATTCCTACAGAGGGTGCACCAGCTGCCACAGCTGCCAAGGCATACTCAATCTGCACTAGTTTGCCTGAAGGGCTGTGAAAAAAAACATCAAGTCTGGTTAGAGGGTACATGAGGAACCAAATCAAACAACAGTGCAAATAGTCACTTGACTATTACAGGGGGATTAAGCTTGGGTGATAATGTAAATTCAGACAAATTGTTATTGATTGCAGAATTATTGTGATAAACAATATTACTGTGAAGTACCATGAGAGGGTTACAGAACCTCACCCTATAGCTTGCATTTTCCCTGTAGATAATAATTAGTATACAAATTACCAACTGGCCTAGCTTCTGATTTGATTCTTATGATGATAACTATATTCTGCCTTAGCAGCAAGTAACACTGTTAACATCCAGTGGTTCTACGTATTCATATTCCAAAATGTTTCTGGCACACTGACACCCTCCTTCTGTACAAGTGTACTGCTTCATTTGGATGTACCCCAGTATTCATCATCAGACTGATAATGTATTTCATAATCTTTCCATATGTATGTGTGTAGTTAATTGGTGACGTTCTGTTTGTATATCTTATAATTTAATGTAATCTTTATTGGACTCAATTTTTAACTTACACTAAACTACAATGATTGTACACAAAGAGAATAATACACGTAAAAGAGAACGATAATTTGCCTAATACAGTCACTTGTGACAATTTTCGTGATACAACATCAGTTATTGGCCCACAGCTAGTGGAGACTCGACCTACTAGTCAGCTGTGCTCCCCAATTTATCCCTGGCACACTGTGCACAGACAATATGGAGCTGAAATCACTTTCTTATTTGAGTTTTCTCGATCCACCTTAAACAGTGCCGGCGCCACTTAAGCACTGCTGCACCATTTAAGGTGGAACGGGAAAATTGGAACAAGAAGCTGGCGAATAGGAAACTGACTTCAGCTTCGCACAGACGGTGGTGTTTAGTAGGTATAATGTTTAGATACTGAAATATTCAAATGATAATTTACTCCTGCATAACTCAAAGCTTTCTGAACTCCACTGTTTTAGTCACCGTCCTGCTGCTGCTCGGTTAGCGTGACACTGCATCCCAGATACGACTCACAAACACAATCACAGGAGAGATACGGGACAGAGTACATACATTAAATTATGAATATATATCAGCTGTTGTATTACTGACATATTAGTATCACCAAAAAGATTCAGCAAATTAAAAGTTTACCTAAATGTAGTAAGAGAGAAACTGTATCCCCGCTCTGCCATTTTTATTCCGTTTGAAGATGCTCACAAACATCTTCCGGGTAAAGCTGCTGTCGAAGTCAAAATAAAGGTTTTTGGCAGGCGGTTAGTTAAAAAGTATTAGATTTGATTAATTATATTAACAAAATAAATGCTATTAATAGACAGCTGTGTAAATTTAAAAGTGTAATCAGTGCCGTTTTTTTTTTAATCTTCGAAAAGAGTGAGGAAATTTTGGCCAAAAAGACAGTACCGAATGACAGTTTGTTACAACCACCTACCACTTGTACATTTGTATTTATGAATATATGTGGTATCTAAAGTTCCTGTAACTTGCATTTGATAACGCAATGTAAAAACAAAAAAAGACGACGGAAACCATGAAAAGACCAAACGAGCAAAGACTTTTATTCCAAGTCTCCAGCGGAAGCTCGACTTGCGTCGTCCGCTCTACTCCTCGCCCAGCTTCTACAAGCTGTAGCTCCTCAAGCGCCAAGGTATTGTCTGTTAACCGTGCCTAAATTCAGTATTTCACTCAGTAAATTCTTTATTTCAGTAATACATTCATCCCTCTTGCTTTAAGAACCAATTTATGGCCACATAAGAAAGTGGAAAGCTGGACGGAGCGAGGCGGGACGCCCGTAAAGGCGACGGTCGAGGAGGAAACATGGCTCGATGACGGGCTCGCGCTAACTGAGCAGCTTTACATGGCGGAGCGATTCGCTGACTTCAGCGAGTGTCGTTCATGTCAAATCAACCTGTGCGGCTCATTTTGTCATATTTTTCCGAGTGCTGATAAAAGACTAGCGCCTTCATAAAGTGTCGGTCGGTTAATCGACGACTAATCTCCACGGCAGTTTGCGCTTTTTTAACATCGGCCTTCATGATGTCTGCGCTTCAGCTCGCTGGCTAACTAGTTAGCTGACCAGCTAACGTTAGCACAGAGTAACACGCCTCGCGATTCTTATGAACATGTACGTTAGATTACCAGGCTTTAATGTTACACTGACCTTTTGAACTTTTCGCTTTGTGTTTGGCTCAGTAATGTTTTAAATGTTATATCGTTGTTTTCCCAGCACGCTCAGCAGCTGGCGAACACTAACGGTGACCGTATAAACGCTCAGACCACTTCGGCTGCGTCGATAACTGCACACTACTGTGCTGTATAGTATACCAAAAATAGTGCTCCATGTTACTCGTACATTCAGCAGTACAGTGCGTGTAGTATGCGGTGTTGGATTATAGCCCCTGTTTATTGAGCCAGCTTGGCTAGCTAGCCAACCAACTGCCTCACTCCTTTCAGAGAGCCAGTGATACAGTTACTTACACAGATGATGTGTGTTTCCAGGGAAAGCCATGGCTCGCGGGCAGCAGAAGATTCAGTCCCAGCAGAAGAACGCCAAAAAGGCAGCAGAAAAGAAGAAGGCACAGGGAGCGGATCAGAAGACTGCTGCCAAAGCTGCCCTCGTCCACACATGCCCTGTTTGCAGGGTAAGTCTGTAATGCATTAATCGAGGTATCAGTGTACAGTGATAGCTGATACATTGATGTTCTTTATGGTTTGGAAATGGCTAACAGTGGTATGTGTTGCTTTATAGTTAATTTGTGTTTCCTTTAAAGACTGGTGACTGACCTTTTTTGTTTTTTTTCTTTTGGGGTCCTGCCTTCATTTATAGACACAGATGCCAGACCCAAAGACATTCAAGCAGCATTTTGAAAGCAAACATCCCAAATCACCAATGCCCCCTGAGCTGGTGGATGTGCAGGCATAAAGGATACTAGGAATTAACAATATCTGCATTTGGGGTAAGTTAACAGGTGTTCTTGATCAATGCTGTAAACCAGGTTTAAATCTGTATCTTCTTTGCAGTGTGAATGTTGTACTCATTGAATTTGGTATAATCCGCAGACCCTGGGGAAAGAAATGATGCGATTCAGCTTGGCCAACTGATTCAACTCATCTGGACACATAGTGACAGGAGACCTAAGGATGGACTAAAGCACACCAGCACCCGTTTGATTTTATATTTTTATATGTATCTTGCCTTCATTTAGGCGAACAGTCATTTCAAGTGTGCTATGCACCCTGACAGCCTCATTGTCATGTCCTGTCAAACCTCTCAGTATTTATCCACCACTAATTTAATGTTTTTCTTTTCTCCCATCACGGCAAAACTTTATTAACACATACACAAATGTTCTCTGGTGCATACTATTCAAATGTTGCTCACATGTCTTGTTCTGTTCTTTCAACATGAGCCATGATTTAGAATTGCAGAAGTGTGGGGATCAACAATATTGGCCAGGGTTGTGACTGAATTAGATCAGTGTGGTTGGCAAAAATGATCTTCAAAGCAACAAATTATGCTCTCATGCAAAGTACTTTGTGTTGAATAGAGTCCCTGGAATTGCTTACAAGTTGGAGCAGTTCTATGGTTTTCAATAAATGTATAAGCATAGTCAAAATGTGTCATGGTGACTGCCTAGAAGGTGCATATGGGTGTGTTTTGACTTTATTTCCTTTATTCTCTAGATGTTAATGCAACTCAGCGTTATTTCATGTCTCAAATGTGATCACAGTGGGGGGAAACTGAATTAGTGCCAGTTTAGAAACGTGAAATTAATCCTTTGGAGTATTAACTTTAAGACCTATGCTAGAAAGCTTCACTGCCATGGGTGTGATGTAATGAGATATGCAGTCAAGTAATATTTAATTGCATACCAAATATAAAATAGGTGTTTGAAATTCTACACTCAGAATGAAGTGATAAGAGTTCACTGGAGTTTGGAATTTGCAGATCTTGGCTTTGTTCTCCTGAAGCTTTGCAGCGTAACTCTTCATTGTGGTAGAATGACTATTTATTTCAGTACTTTTTAATATGTCACATTGATTATTAGGTGGGAAAGCTTTGGGAATTTTAGCCAAACTTAGCAGGTTGATGCTTTTTTTTTAGAATCTGTATGTACCCCACTTCTTTGCCCCATGTACTGAAAAGGTAAATATGACTAGCATTCACTTTGTATAGCTACTAACTTGAAAATTAAAATGCATTATTAAAGTAATTACAATGTACCCACTTTTTTGTGATTCTCACATATAAGTGTATTGACTTCAGTGAGAACAGTGCCTATTAGCGTGTGGAAATCCTTAATTTTTAGGTACCATTTATTATTTGGATGTTTAGAACTGGGATCAGGCGTTCAAAATATGGGTCTAGGGAAGTGTTTCTTCTAGACAATGAACTGGCCACAGAGATGTTGTGGTATTTACTGTTGTGGCTGCAGTTTTCTGAAGTGTGGTGAACGCAGCCAGTCAGACTCACTCCGCTGAATTCCTCAGTGGTTATGTTTCACATAAAAATGTCCTAAGTCATGGTGGCTGGAACTGTGGTCATGCCCAAGATGTTTTTCCCTTTCTAAATATTTAGCATCACATTTAGTTTGACATTGTGTTTGAAGTCAACAAATCACATTTTCGGCACAAAATTGAGCAGCTTGCTCATTAAACTAGTGTAGTCAGAGTTTTCTCTAAGAACTTGCACCACTTCCACATCACATTCAGCAGCTTCTCTAACCAAGAGGATGAGGTGAGCAGGTGTCTGTAAGCACAAAATACTTGGACAAAAATGTTCAAAATGGAATACACAAGCCAGGATGGGATAACTGAATAGTGAATAATCAACAAAGAATTATTTAATAAAAACATGCAATAAAATGCACTACTCTTTTTCATGAGGAGTCATGATTTTCTGTGATCAGCTGAGGCAAGTCACAAGAATATTACTGAAGAAACCAATGCACATACACACACACACACACACACACACACACACACACATTCCACATTTCATTTTCTTTTTTTCATATATTCGAAGCAAATAAATTATGCATTAGAATGTGCAGAAGTGTGTTTGCTGTAAAGGATGTGTAAACTCATTTCTCATTTTCACTTAGAAAAGCAATAAAGTACAATTAGCCCAGGGGTGCCCAAACTTTTCCATATGTCTATAAATATATCATTGCTGCTGGAACAAAGGTCAAAATGATCCCAAATTGCTTAGAATAAAATCTTTTTACTTTTCCTTACATCAAAAGATAAGAATATTTTTCTTCTCCTGAAAAGTTATGTTTGTGCTGGATTTCTGGACAAACATAAATCCAAGGTCCTGTAGACGAAAACAGGATTTTCAGTAGAAAATCTCCACTGGCAGTGTAACTGTCTCTGGAAAACTGGCCTTATATTACTGTCTTTTCTTTGTACTGGATCCATTATAGTGAAGAATGCAGCTAAACCACAGCGCTATCAGTCATGATGGAAGCCTTGTTTATTGTAATTCAAATTCCTTTTTTAAGATTTGAAATAATCATCATCATGTTGAATATTATGATGTGGGACAATAGACGACTGTAATAGCTGAAACTTTGCTGTATTTGCATCCATTGCATTATCTAAAGCAAATAGGATCAAAGAACTTCAGAAAGGTCAGGAATTTGCTAACTGTAGATTTCCAGTGCTCAGTTCAGTCAAATTCAGTTTTGTATGCTGCCTCTGTGGATTACTTTGTACATTTAATACATAAAATATTCAGGTAATTAAATCCAAGAGTTTATGGGTTTGACTAGTTTGAAAGTGGCTTTGGGTTTATCCATGCTGTTTTGAAAGATCAGATTTTCTGCATTATTTTGGACGCTGAGAGTCTTACTGTTGTTTTAACACTAATTTGGTGCTAACTGAGCCAGTGACCATGGACCAAGACTAGGGATTTTTTTGTTTTCTGTGTGATTTTCAAGCAATACTATCACAATCTGAAATTAATTCTGTTCTATTTGGACAACCTGAGCGGAAATACAGGCTCCGGTCCCAAAGTTTAATTGCTTTTTCAGTTTTTTATGAAGTAAAATCATCTTTCTACTGATGAACATCCTCGTAATCAAATCAAATGACCCTTCATCAACACCACAATATGTGAAGAATATCTTATTATTCAAACTAAGAGGTATATGACTCACTAATCAATGCACACTGGAAACAGGTGACAGACAGTAATGCATCCATGTCCCAGTACATGCGACACAGAGGAACACTGTCTTTATTTTTAGATAACATAATGACACAAAGATGTCAAATTAGACTGTAAAAGTGTTTCATACATAGTTTAAAAGTTCTGAAATATGACTTACTTTGTTGTTATTATATTAACCTTAATTGTAGGACCAAACAAATCCTTCTTTTCTCAATAGTGATCATAATAAGATGCTAGTTATGGGGATGCGTTTGGCTCTCAGAAATGACAACACAAAAAGAAGACAATATCAGAGAGACTGTGCTACTGCAGCAAACAGAACTATACCAAGAAAATGGTTATAGCCTGACTGTATTAGCCTGTAGTCATTCAGCAGGGTCCAAACTCTTATCCAGAGAAAGCCCCAGCACCAAGTGATCAGTGGACACCGCAATAAACCTCTGTTGCAAGACATGAAGAATACATAACAACATGTAGTTGTTAAAGTGAGATCATCATGATTTATTCCATTTTGGCAGACCAGTTCAAAGCGTGTTTTAGTTCAAAGAAATTAAAAGAGAACTTTTTACTTTGCATTTTATTTTTAGCTTACATTCTCAGATATTAGGCAAGTAATTAGATAAGAATTATTACTTTTCCTGTTTGTTCTTTGTTGATGTATTCTATCCATGTTTCCATCCATGTGTAAGGTTGTTGTTTTAATTGCTACACATTAAAATTCAGTTTCCAGCATTATCAGCATGTGACTATTTCTTATTACATTCCACCAGCAGAATATTCATAATCAGACACAACACACACTCACACCTGATGTTAGACTTTCCTTCAGCAGCACCATATTCACCTAGTTATAAATGTACAAATTACTGAGATACCAGCCACAATGCATCCTCCTGCTGAGAAACTGGACAGCATTGCATCTCATGCGTGATTGATGATGGCGATGATTAACTGATTAGATTTCCTCAGGGTGATGGAGCGAGAACCGCTATATTACATCAGACTTATGTTCATTTAAAGTGGAACACCTGATTATTATTACAGATGATTACAATGTCTGTGTATTGTCTAATTAATACATGGTCAGCTTATTTAATGTGAGGAGAATTGTGGAAAAAAGAAAACACTTTTAGCATCGAACACCGGCCTTAATTACTGATGGATAAATACTTCCTACCTCTGTCAGCATGACAAACTGAGCAACTATGTCACAGAACTGGTTAATGACATGCCTGAAAGAATAACGTTGTATGCTAGAAGTAGTGCAGTTGGGCATAATGTCAGCCCGGCCCAGCCTGGATAAAACGTTGATACTTGTTTACAGGCAGCCGCAGGTCTTGACCACCATGTTCCGATGTTTCTTGAGTATTACATTGTTGTTGTCATCATAAAAGAGCACAGAGATGGGACTGAGCTTGGTTGGCGCACAGCAGGCCTTCGGTACCTCGTCTGGCTTTATAAGATGGACCTGTCAAAGACAAGAAGTCACTCTGTCTGTTTCAGCTCAGTCACAATTTCAGACTGATCAGTTCACTGTTAGAATAGATCTGCCCATGATATTTTGCAGATTTAGAATTAATCCAAATTATGTCAGACACATCTTATACACACATGCAGAAAAAAATAATGCAATAAACTTGGTAAAAAGGTACTAACCACAAGCTGGATCATGGCGTGATTAGTAGCGTTCATACAGGAGCCCAGAGGATAGTCACATTCCCCATCACAGTAATATGCTGAGTAACCTGGAGGGGCCAAAACCCAATCCTGAAAAAAGACGAAAACCCAGGTTTGAGGTCAGGTACATGCTATATATATATATATATATATATATAGTGTTGTATGCAAAAGTTTGAACACCCACAGTGAAATGATGTTTTGTTGATTTTTTAAGTGAAAATAACATCCTGAACAGAGAATATATATGACAAATATGACTTTTGTCTGTAAATTGTAGTACACAGCTTCTGTTTATTTTCTGAGTTTAACATATTTGAAAATAAAATTTTTTAAAACTTTTGCTCAAGCCACATTTCATGTTTTTTGTGAATGTGGATTAAGGTTTGAGGGGGGACTGTGTGACAGGAGGGGAGAGAACTATAAGAACTTGGGCTGGAGTTCTGGGCAGCTTCTGCTTAAAGCTAGTTCTCTGTAGAGGAGGTGTTCACTTATTTTCATTCACAAAATCAGCAAATCATGTCATTTGACCAGGGGTGTCACTTTTGCATTTAACAGTACACAGAATACTTTTCTACATACTGTATTGAGATGTACAGTTTACCTTCCAGCCAAGGTCACTAAAGCTGACATATAACTCATGCTTTTTACAGGCCTGCCGCCCACTGTTTGCATGATGCTGATCTGAAATGAAAAAAGACAAAATCATTTTTATTGATTTGTTGCCACAGTAAATGAACAAATTAAAAGTGGAGTGGCTGAGACAGTTTATTTGAAATATGATGGTTTAACCATAAAAAATCAGTGGCTAATAGAAAATTTTGCTATGGTGATTGAGCTTGGCATGCTGCCATATACCTCTCAGAAAACAAACTCTATTTTATGGATCTGGTAGATCCACAGTATAGTTTAAAGGGACAATACAGCCACACTTCCATTTTAATTCACTAATTACTAAAAAACTCTTTGAGGCCAGTAAGCTGAAGTACAAGACTGCTAACCCAGTGGCTTGATTGATCAGACATGTCAAACTGGGGACCTTCCAGGCCAAAGTGCTGCGGAGATTAGTGTTTACCCTCATCTAACGCTGTGAATTCAGTTCTTGAGGGCCTTGCTAATTAGCTGATGAGCTGAATCAGGTGTGTTTAATGAGGCAGCATGCTGAAGGATGCAGTGTTTTGGCCCATGAGGACTGGAGCTTGACACATGTACCATAGATGAACGTGCATAAAACTAGAATACAAACAAATCATTTACTCCGTATTTGACTGTCTGAGGTTAGGATAGTCTGAACATTTGCTCTTTTAATTAATTAATTAGTTATTATAAAATATGTGGCATTTCTACCTCCTGCAACTTTACCGTACTTGTTTGCACTTACCAAATATGCCAGGTCTGTTCGGATGGGGCAGATCATATTTGTTTTTTTTCTTGCGTGGGCTGTTGTGTCTGACAGCTCGAGGCGGGCGGCAAGGGGCCTGGCTGGCCCGGAAGAATGTCACCATAAAGGGCTGTTTGGAGCGAGGGCCTCTGCGGCCAATCAAACCCACCCAACCCGCAGACAATGAGCGGTCTGAGAGAGTGACAAAACATAATTAACATAATAAATATAATGAATAATGAATAAAAATACACACTTCCCAGCAAATGTCTGGGGAGACATCTAGCTTTTCAAAGTGATTTTAACAGAAATGAGCATGTTTTCTTTGTCAGATTGTAATAACTTAATAAATTAAATACCAACCAAGTTAATTTTGAAAAAAATATCACACAAACAGTTTTGACCTTAGACACGACTACCTTGGGAGTAATGACATACTCTGAGCTTCCACTCTTCTGGGAAGCTTCCTACAAGATTTTTGAGTGTGTCTGTGGGAATTTTTGCCCATTCATCCAGAAGAGCATTTGTGAGGTCAGACACTGATGTTGGATGAGAGGGCCAGGCTCGCAATCTCCATTCTAGTTCATTCTAAAGGTGTTTGATAGGGTTGAGGTCAGGGCTCTGTGTGGGCCAGTCAAGTTCTTCCACACCAAACTCACCCAACTATGTCTTTATGGACCTTGCTTTGTGCACTGGGGCACAGTCATGCTGGAACAGAAAAGGGCCTTCCCCAAACTGTTTCCTCAAAGTTGGAAGCATAAATTTGTCTAATATGTCTTGGTATGCTGAAGCATTAAGATTTAGCCTCACTGGAACTAAGGGATCTAGACCAACCCCCAAAAAACAACCCCATAGCATTATCCCTCCTCCACCAAACTTTACAGCTGGCACAGTGCAGTCAGGCAGGTAATGTTCTGCTGGCATTCACCAAACCCAGACTCGTCCATCAGACTGCCACATAGAGAAGTGTGATTCATCACTCCACAAAATATGTTTCCACTGCTCCAGAGTCCAGTGGTGGTGTGCTTTACACCACTCCATTTGACGCTTGGCATTGTACTTGGTGATGTAAGGCTTGCATGCAGCTGCTTGGACATGGAAATCCGTGCCATGAAGCTCCCGGAGCACAGTTTTTGTGCTGATGTTTATGCCAGAGGAGGTTTGGAACCCTGCAGTTATTGAGTCAGCAGAGCACTGGTGACTTTTATGCGCTATGAGTCTCGTAGCTCTGTAACTTTATGTGGCCTGACACTTCATGGCTGAATAGTGCTGTGGTTCCTAAACACTTCCACTTTTCGATTTTATACACCTGTGGAAAGGGGACTGATTAAAACACCTGAATTCAATGATTAAGAGGTGTGTCTCAATACTTTTGTCCATATAGTGTATTTTTCTTACACCTAGGAATAATAGTTCTTTGGCTTTTGCATCTCTATGAGGCCTGTAAGATGTTCCTTGCGAAGGACGTTGTGACATGAGATAAGGACTTGTTTATGCCCAACTCCAATCTACTACTAGACATGGTGGCGGTCAATGGTACAGGAGCTGGAACTGGGTTTTTCCATCTTCGTATAACTGGGTGAAATGTGACCATTCAGGAACCTTCAAAGTCTTCAGCCTGACTGAGAGCGACTTGCTGACATCATTAAGATGCACATAAGGGACACTATATTTGTTGACTGAATCTAACTAATGACACTGTGTTTAGTTTCTGAACCAATTCAAGTCTGCATTATAATACGATTTGTAAGAACAAATCAGCAATTGTATATAATATGTAGAATATGTCTAATTTACATATAATTTACATAAAGGCATAACTGCTTTGACCAAGTCTGTGTCAGATGGAGAAGACACCTGCAGGTGCTCTAACCCCCACTCATCATCCTGTGGTAAATTACCCAACGGCACCAAAAGATTTCCAGTATGTGTTGTTAACAATAGTTCTGAAAAGATAACCACTAAATCACTAATGAGGCCATATCTACTCTTCATAAGCTTTGGAAACAAACCTTCCCACTCTTTATTAAGAGCACTATATGAAGTAGTATGAAGCGCAAAAATGTTTTTTACCTAATAAAGTGAAAGAAATCTGTTTTAAAATCTTCTGCTTTTAAATAAAAATTAGGTCAGCTTTAAGGAAATAAGATGTGATTGCAATTAATCATAAAGGTACAACCTCATTTCCAAAAAATTTTGGATGCTGTGCAAAATGTAAGTAAAAACAGAATGCAACATGCCAGCAACATGTTCCAAAAACATTAGGACAGGGGCAATAAAGGACTGGTGAGGTTGTGTAATGCTAAAAATACACCTGGTGGAACATCTCACAACTAATAAGGTTAAATGGCAACAGGTTAATAACATGAATGAGTATAAACAGAGCATCCCAGAGAGGCTGGGTCTTTCAGAAGTAAAGATGGGGAACGATTCATCCCCCTGTGAGACTACAGGGGCAAATAGTGCAACAATTCAATGATAACAGTTCTCAATGTTAAAAAGCAAAGAACTTGGGTATTTCATCATCTACGGTACATAACATCATTAAAGATTCAGAGAATCCAGAGAAATCTCTGTAAGCAAGGGACAAAGTCAAAAACCAATATTGGATGGCTGTGGTCTTCAGGCCCTCAGGTGGCACTGCAAACAGACATGATTCTGCAGTGGAAATTATTTCATGAACTCAAGAACACTTCTAAAAAATCATCGTCTGTGAACACAGTTTGCCACTGCATCCACAAATGCAAGTTAAAATTCTACCATGCGAAGAAGAAACCATATATAATTCAGAAATGAGACCTGAGCTCATTTAAGATGGACTGGGACAGAGTGTCCTCCAGGTTAAAGAGGAGAAGGACCATATGGCTTGTTATCAGTGCACAGTTCAAAAGCCAGTATTCATGATGGTATAGGGGTGCATTGGTGCACATGGCATGGGTGACGTGCACATCAGTGAAGACACCATTAATGCTTAATAATATATACAGGTTTTGGAGCAACATATGCTGCCATCCAGACGACGTCTTTTTCAGGGAAGGCCTTGTTGAATTGAAATGAGTAATACAACGAAGAAGACCCTGAACTGTTGAGCAGCTGAAATCCTATATACAGCAAGAATGGGGAAAAAAATTCACCTTCAAAACTACAGCAATTGGTCTCCTCAGTCCCTAAACACATACAGAGTGTTGTTAAAAGTAGAAGTGTTGCAACACAGTGGTAAACATGCTCCTGTCCCTTTTTTGAAATGTGTTACTGGCATCAAATTCAAAATGGGCATATATTTAAAAAAAAAAACAAAAAACTTTTATATGCTTGTTTATATGTCTTTGTACTATTTTCAATTAAATATTGGGTTTGAATAATTTGCACATCATTGCCTTGTTTTTATTTACATTTTGCACAGCAGCCCAACTATTTTGGAAACAGGGTTGTAATTAATTCTTTTAACTGTTTTTCAGCCCTAATTTAAAGCATTAGTAAATAGTCTGCAGGTAGTTTCCTTACTTGATTGGAAAGTTACAGGAATGGGATAAGATGTCATCGTGTCCCCAGAGTTTCAACAGCAAATGTGTTATACTGCACAGCTATCACCTTCTAACATCCTCTCAGTTTTTCCTCCTATTCCATGTGAACAAACATCAGCCATCAACTTGATATGCCTTGCTTTTTTATTTGGTGTTGTACAAGATGCTCACCCTCTTCTGTTTCCACATACAATCGGATGCCTAGGTTACTTCGTGGGTGCAGTAGCCAGTGGTTGCTGGCAGATGTCACATCGAAGGCCAGCCAGCCCTCCTGCCCTGCTGGAACAGACTGCATGTCTAACAGGACCAGCTCAGGCTCCCTGAAAACACACCAGCAAGATCAGGTCTTTGTGGACTGAGATGTTTACTGCTTTATGAAGACTGCAGACACTGGCCTGGATGATCAATCTCTAGTGTAGCAGGGCCACATAGCCCCTACAATGTCTAAAAAGGTCACATAGCCCGCCACCTTAAATTAAAAAAATAAACAAACAAACAAAGTACATGATGAATTTATTCCTGAGGTGCTTGAATTGTATGCACTCTAAGAAGGACACTAGAGTGTGACTGACCTGTGTCTTTTCTCCCTCTGGATTTCATAGACAGAGATGTGGAGGGTACGGTTTGCCCGCTGACCCATGGTCAGGGTTTTGTAGATGCGGAACTCTGCGGCAGTGACCGTCTCTCCCTGTGGAAGTGGCGTCAGATCAAAACGGAACTCTTTCCAGTAGGGCCGAGGCTGGAGGAGGTCTCTCTCGTGCTCCACTGAGGGAGAGAGAGAGGTGAAGAAGAGAGAGACAGAGAGATCGACCATGGCTCAGTTAGATGCTGGACAAGCATAAGTAATCAGAGCAGCTTCAGTGCACCTTGGCATAGATTCCACAATCTCTGGAACAGTACTGGAGGTATGGTAACTGCAAAAGCCATTGCATATGATTTACATCATTTTCAAAATTATCAAAGCATTCAGTGACCCCTGGGTGCCCTGTGAATGAGGGGACAGTCACCCTGGAAGACCACTCCGATCAGGATAGAAATGTTTCATCATAGGATAAGAATGATTACTCAGAATAACTATCAGTAACACATCAACAACACATCAGTGAAGTAGCAGTGGTGAAGCATCTGAATACACTGAAGTAAATATCTTGTACATGTGCTGTAGATACATTACTTACATTAAGCAGATGTACTGGTAATATGTTACTTCCATTACATAAAAGCTAACTTTACCCAAAACTTATCCCTCACCTGACTCTAATCTGAACCCTAACCTTAACCTCAACCCAAAACTTAATCCTAACCCTCATATGTTTTTGATATGTTACTGAGAGTCTGTTGAGTGTTTGTTTCATCAAAAAGGACGACTCAAAACAAAGTGTCACCCAAGCCTGTATTGTTCTCTTGGTGTATGCCACACATGCACTCACGCTCTTGTGGAGAATATGGTGACTCATCTGACCATATCACCTTTTCCATATCTATGTAGACCCCATGTGTCAAACACAAGGCCCATGGCACAATCCTATTCAGCCTGCAAAATTCTATTAATATTAGCCCATTTCACCATGAGCTGCACTACAGTTCCCAGCATGCACTGCAATGTAATGTGTACTCCCACCCCCTCCCCAATAGCAATCTATGTGACAGCGCCACAAAAAAAAAGATGCCAGGTGTCTTGAAAAGGTTAAACAGTTATCCGCAGCTAGTGTAGTCTACTATTTTATATAAAAATTTTTTTTTATTTAAAATAATTTTTGAATCGTTCAAGTATTCAGTGCCTATTTTTTGCTGTTGTAGTTTTGGCATATTTTGAATAAACAATGGCCATTTGGGGTCATGGCAAAATGTAAAAATATAAAATAAATACAGCTGGCCCGCATATTTGTTGAGATTTTTTAATATGACCTTTTAGTAGTTGAGTTTGACATATAATACACATACATGTCAAGGAGGTGGTCGTAATGTTATGCCTGATTGGTATATATATATATATATATTATATATATATATATATATATATATATATAAAGGAACATGGAAACAGTAGGAAAAAAAAACATTAAATGTGGCATGTACATAAGTTTGTGTTCCTTTTTAGTCAGTACTGAGTAAGAAACCTTTTGGCTGAAATAACAGCCAAATATACAGTTTGTAGCCACTTTATTAGATATCAAGTCTGCAAAATTATTTAGCCCTCTCTTTACTGCTTCATCAGTAGCCAGAACCCCCTTAGGGGATCACACACAGCAGTGTTACTGAAGCTTATAAACAACTCTGTGTCACTGCTGGACTAGTCCACCAACCAAAAAATCCAGCCAACAGCGTCCTGTGGTCAGAGACTAATCCTTGATGAAACACTAGAGAATGAGTAACACAAACTGTGCAGCAACAGATGAGCTGTCGTCTCTGACTTTACATCTACAAGGTGGACCAACAAAGTAGGTGTGTCAAATAGAGTGGACAGTAAGTGGACACAGTGTTTTAAAAACTCCAGTAACACTGTTGTGTCTGATCCTCTTTTACCAACACAACACTCAGTGTCAGTGTCTACCACCCAAATAATACCTGCTCAGTGGTGTCCTGTGGGGGTCCTGACCATTGATGAATGGGATAAACAAAGTCTATCAAAGTATGCAGAAAAACAGATGGACAACAGACTGTAATGGTAGAACTACAAAGTGCACTTATATGGTAAGTGTACCAGATCAAATGGACAATGAGTGATACAAGGTGCTAAAACAATACTGTCACTGGAGTGCTAGACTTTGGCTAGTCTTTGCACTTAAATCTTAAACTGAAACCAAAAAACCTCCCTTACTATATTACAGTATAACTCCATCTGTAACATAATCCTCATTTGCTCAGCTGTGCAAATGTAAAATTTTCACAAATGCTCATATCATCCTGTCATATACTGTATATAACTGTTTTCTATTCTATTATATTGTAATATAGTTCTCCTCAGACCAGCATTTGTATAGACATTCATGTCTGCATATGTACAGATATTTGCACATCTCTTTAAGATCCACCCACTTTGGCTCTTTATTATTATTTCTCATTCTTTACTGTATTTTCATTTTTTGTGCCTTAGTTAAATATTTGTTTAGTTTTGTACAGTCTGTGTTTGTCTGGTCTGTTTAGTATGTTACATGTCATACATGTGTGCATACTTGGAGAAATACAGTGACTCTGATTCTTTGAGACTGTTGTCATCAAAAATCGAGCAACTAGCAAGTAATTAATTGTCTAGTTCAAGAAGCTGCATTGCTTTTAGGTAAAAATAAAATAATCCTCCTTTAAAGTAAAATATAATAGGTAAGATATAAATATATAAATAAGATATAAATAAATGGTCTTAAACACTGGACTTAATGTGTAACTGCTAATTCACCCTTTAACCCTGAAGGCTGGCGCGCAGACCGCTGGTCACCATAGCAACGACAACAGTCTCGGCTAGCTTGTAGCTAACGAAAAGGCAAAGAGACGAACATCGATAGTTTGGAGACGAATGGACTTATTTGCATTTATAAGCACTCCAGCTGGTTTCCTGATATTTTTAATCTGCAACAAGAAACTGTCAAACACTAAAAAAGTCGCGAGGCTGAAGTCAGCTTCTCATTCGAATTCTCCCGTTCCACCTTAAATGGTGCAGTTACATTGTGGCGCCTCAGGCACCATTTATTTAAGGTGGAACAGGAGAATTAGAACAAGAAGCTGGTGAATGAGAAGCGACTTCAGCATCGTACAAAATTTAACGTTGAGAGACATTTTAAAAGAAAGTATCACTACTACTTTTGTGGAAAAGTTTCCTGTCGGAGATGCGAGAAAAGCGACTACAGCTGAGCTGAAGCTTAAAGCAGAGCAAAGTAAGTCTGCATTTTTTCATATTTTTTAGCCTATGCTAGTACATTAGCACATACTGCGACGTATTTACTGCCAAAGTTAAAAGGACATAAAGTATTGTGGCTCTCAAGGTGGTTAGGTTTTTGTTGAAAGGACAAAATGGATCTTCTTAATATTTGGGATGCCGACCAACTGCGTTCAACTTATTACGTACTCACACGGTGTTAGCTCAACAGAATGCTGTGTGACAACCTCTTCAATTTGCTCTGCCTATTCCATATTATACAGTTGTGTGCAAAAGTTTAAACACACACACACAAACACACACACACATCATCATCATCTAAACCGCTTATCCTTCTGGGTCGCGGTGGGGTGCTGGAGCCTATCCCAGTTGTCATTGGGCAGAAGGCAGGTTTAAACACTCCCAATCAAATTGAATGTTTTATTGAAAAGATGACAGACACAGAACAGACTAAAATATGGCATTTGTCAGCAAATTTTAAAGTAGTTTCTATTTATTTGCTGGGTTTAACGTATCAGAAAAAAATATAAAATAGTATATCAAATATAAAACGTACCATAACTTTTGCACAGGCCACATTTTGTTTTATTTTTTCCAAAATGATAAATTTAGCAAATAAACACTAACTGTGCATTATAATGTGCATAACTGTGTTCTCTGTAGAGGATGTGTAACTTATTTTCACTCAGAAAATCACCAAAACATGTAATGTGACTGGGGCACTAAAACATTTGCATACGACTCTAGGTATATAGTATATGGAGGACATGGGAGAAAATGATGTTATGCACCTGCATTGATGAGAGAGAGAGAGAAAGAGAGAGAGAGAGAGAGAGAAAGATGAGGACGACAGCATCCCTGCCTACAGTATGGCCTACAGGACAACACTACTGTACAACACAGCGGGGGGGGGGTGAAGGAGAGAGGATGAGGGAGTGACAGGCCAGGAGAAATGAAAGAGTGGGAGAGACAGGGAAAAAACTGAGAGAAGACATTTAAAGAAAGAGAGGAGCAGAGGAGTGTCATCAGCTGCAGCTACGCTATGATATAGAAGTAAATGAAGGAGAGAGAGGGAGTGTGTTTTGCAGGGGTACGAGACAATGTGCTGAAGAATGGGCAGACAGGAGAGGGAGAGAGGGATAAATCCACAGCGAGAGCGAGGAAGATGAACATTTGTCCTTGTAGAGCCCTGTGGGTCAGACTAACACCCACGGCCAGGCCTGCGCTGTAGGGTAATTAGAGGCAGTGTGGGGCCGGCTCCCGCTCAACACACAACCACTAATTACAGCCTCGCTGTGTATTTTTAGAGGAGTGCCTGACATTATTTTCATTTCCCTCTCCCTCCTCCTCTTTCTGCCTTGCGATGTAGCCTGTAATTCTGCACAGCTGTGTGCCCTCTGCATCATCACACAGCCCTTCAGAAGGGTTTGCCCAGATGAGCTCAATGACTGATATCGTATCGGCCAATACGGATCAACAACAATGTCTCTTCCAGGCAGTAATGCAGGGAATTCCAGTGCAAGGGAAAATTTATTGCTGTGCACTAATAATCATAGACAATAGGCCGCTGGCAGTGATGATGAAAATAAGAGAAGACAAATGTTCTCCCATGACGAAGACACTGGAGAGAAGGAGAGAAATGAAGGGAGGAGGCCACTGAGAATGAGACATTTAATTGTAATTCTGCGACAGATAAGCATCATCTCTGGGCTGAGACAGGAAGAAGAGATGTTGGAGAGATAGTGCAGTTGTCTCAGTGCAGTGGACCACAAATCCTGTTTTCTAGGACTCCACAATAAACCCAACAATCCATTTGGCCAAAGCTTTCGAGGCCCTCTATGAGCTGAAATGTAGAATATTGGAGTGAAGCATCTGCACAGGTCACCCAGCATCATGGGCTTATTGCCAGAGTTAACAGTCTGTAATACTGCATACAGGCATTAACTCTTAAATGTCTGGGTGCCTTTACACCCATTCGTGCATACCTCAGGTTAACACCCTGAAACGTATTTTGTTATATTTTCATATTTTATTTGTCAGTTATCTATGAATAAAGGAAGGTAGACAAGGAGAATGAGGTCATTGGTGCTAGTGATATGGGGGTATGTGTTTAACACCTGTCAGCTAGTCCAGAAGTACATACAGTATAGTAGTTTCATAGTAGTTACTATATAATAAGTCTAAAATGGCCTTAGACTGGAAAACTGAATTTCCTATTCAATGCTCAGTGTTAAATTTTTTTAATTTATTGTTCACTGTCCAGTCCGAATGTGGAATTTAAGCTGAAAAACAAAGACTTGTTTTGAATTAATCGTATTTGTGATGTCACAAAACCAATGCATTTGCATATATCTACTTAATCAGCCTACAGTAGGTTAGCTCCACCCATTTACTTTGAAGTTAAAAGCAGTGTTTCTGCTTGGACTGCTTTTTAATTGAGGTGCTATACTGGGCAGCCAAGTGTCGCTGTTAGATAAAAACCTCCAAACTCTCCAAAACATTTCAGGAGAAGTAAAAACATTTTTAACTTTCAGTGACCACTAATGTAAAAATATTTTATTACAGGTCAAAATGGAGCATTTATATTGATCCACTCATCATGAATTTTTTACACAATGTACAGGACAGCTGGCGACAGCTTTTCATATTACTTATATGAGGTTTTGTTCTGACAGCGACAACATATTAGTCTTAAGATTAGAGGACTAAGAACTGAAAAATAAGCCTAGAGTTTAAGAGGTTAGAGGGTAAAACTTTAAAGAGGTCCCTTGTGCATTTGAGCCATCCCTTACCTAGGTTGACGAAGCTCATGACCGTGTCTGCCTCGCTGACCACCGTGCCGAGGGGAGGCGTGTGTGTACTGAGTGTAGGAAGTGCAGCATGGATGACCCCCTCTTGGTTCAAGCCCAGGCCTGGACCCTCATCCCCCTCAGCTGACACGGCGTGGTACAGGTCCAGCATGAAGAGCGGGGCAGAGGAGGGGGGTCGCAGTGGCGGGTGAGGCCGGGGCCGCCCGGGCAGCCCCAGGATGGAAAGGATCTCCCTCTGCATCTCCTTTTTCTCTCGGCCACTCAACTTACGGAAGCTTGATTGTACCTCTTTCTGCCCACACACACAGACAAACAAACACAGGGGGAAGAAGACCACCAGCAGGAAAAGCCACTGGCGACCTGTAGTTCTGCAGCCAGTGCCACAGCTGCCTTCCCTCCCTCTGCTGTATTTTTGAGACACATGCTGGTCCAGGAGCTTCTGTTTGTCCCTACGTGCAGACGGGACATCCCGGCTAAGGAGGCCTGCTTCCATTGGTGCTGTTTTCCTTCTCACTTCCTGCTGTGTTCTGATGACTCTCTTTCCTCAATGTCTCGAGGCGTTTGGACAACCTCAGCCCACGATGGGACAGTCGCAGGGCTGCCCAATGGCACCAATTACTCAGCTTTAAGGCAAACGCTAGATGTTCCCGTAGCAGAAGCCGTCCATGAATGAGTTCACCTGTTTTCCTGAGCGATCAGAGATGTTTAAGAGAGATCAGTGTTTATTACCCGCGTCCCTCCGTTTATCTCTCCCACCCTCCCTGTCCCTCCTTTCTCTTGCACTGTTATCTACGGAATAAACCTGCACACTTCTCCCTCTTCCACACTCTCTTCTGTTTACTTATGAAGGGAGCACAGATAGAGCAATAACCTCTGGCACTGCAGAAGCAGCTTACAGGAAAACAAACAGCTCTTAAGACTTTTCCACTGCTTTGAAGAGCAGAGTTTGGAAGCGTTCGAGCGAGGTTAAGTAAAGAGCAGGTGCTGAGTAAGGGCTGAGGCAGAACGCAAAATTGAAGTCCAGTACAGTAAATAAATAAGGTGGGTTGACCAACCAGCCAGCCAAGTCTCTCTTTAAAGGGTCCGCAAACCAATGCAACATCTGCCTTTTCTCCAGATATGTAGACAAGTTACAGCTTGATTTGCAATGAATGAAATCAGATCCACAAGAAATGAGAAATGCTCAGTACATGAGTGACTCCTCACCAGCTTTTCATGGCCTTTCAGTACAGCATAATCCAGTAAATAATCAGTCCAAGCTTTGCCAAAATATCCTGCACTGTTTTGTACTTGTGTAATGATTCTTGTACCAAATCCCTCAGATAAAATAATCCACACCTGCAAGCACAAACTCCTCACACTGCAGCACAGCAATAATCTCTCTGGGATCTTCGTACTGAGTGTGTAATGTGAACATGAGCCTTCCTTCTCTTTGCAAGATGCTGGACAGACAGAGGGAGTGTCCCAAATGACTGAAGCCTCCTCCCTCTCTCTCTCCCCGCAATGTTCCCTCCATTCACCATATCCACCATTTCATCTTCAACACACCCAAAATTTGTTCACAATTACCACGTGGCTTGGCGTGAGAGTGGTCTAAGATGCGTCTCTTGGAGACAGCCGGGCGGGTTTAACTGCTGCAAAGCCTGTAGTCTGAATGCTGAGAAAATTATGATCCAGAGTGCATTTAGGTTTTGTAGATTGAAACAGATGACGTGGAGCATGAAGGAACGATAATTTAGCATGAGTGGTTTACTTCAGACAATCTCTCCTATCAACAGGAAAAGAGATAACTATGGGTGGTCTCTTGCCAACACTAAAGTCTGGCTTTACTGTTTCCAGCTTGAATGCAAAGGTAACATACTATAATAGATAAAAGAAACAAGTACTTATTTTTCTCCTCCATCTGTTTCTGGCAGCAGTATGTCAAAATATTTTGACTTATTGCAGTTTGTCAATATACTTATTTTCTCAAGATTTAGAGATACCTCATCAAAATTATAACTATTACATAGTTTTGTGTTTTGACATAATATGGGCTTAGTATCTTAAAATAATGACATTTCCTGCAAATAATATTAACATTGGATTTTAAAATAACTGAATAATGACTTATAAATGACAAATAAATGACTTATTTCCTCAAATTTCTGAAAATATTGACTTACTATCTCTAAATAATGACTTATTTTCTCAAAATATTGATTTAGCATCTCAATCACTTTTTTCTCAAAATATTGTCTCAAAATAATGACTTTCTTGAACTATTTGTTTATTTTTTTAAATATTGACTTAGCATCTCGAAATTACTTTTCATCCTTCCTTTCTTTACTGTCAAAATAATGACATATTAAATAATGTATCTCATGATAATGACCCAGTCCTGAAATAATTGCTTAATTTCTTGACATTCAATAAATCATATCAACATATATATCATATATATCAAAATCTTGAGACAAGTAATTATTTCAGAATATGATGTCATTATTTTGAGATGCCAAGTCAATGTTTTGTCATTATTTTAAGATACTAAGGTAATACTTAAAAAAATAAGAGATAAGGCAGTACAGAGTCAAAAGATGACAAAGATGATTATTACTCCTCTACCTGGCAGAAATGGGCTTCCATACCATACATATAGGTCTCTAATGCCTGAATGGAAGGTTTAAATTCATTTTTTTCTTAAAAAAAAACAACAAAAAAAAACTGCTATCATTCTTTTCAAAAGGCAGTCCCTAATTGGTGCTGGTGTTTAACCACAAAAAAGGGGGATTCCTGGACTGGTGAAGGGGCTGAAGTGTGGTAGGAGCGGGACATGCCATAGGAGCTGTGCTGGGTGTTGAGGACAGTGTTTGGAGGGAAAGGATGTGAGTGGGTTTAAATATTTGTACATAAACACAGACACACAGCTGCAGAGTGTGGACCATGAAACACCACCCTTCCCTAACCCCATCCGTTCCATCCAACCACCAAACCTATACACAGTCCAATACAAACACACACACACACGCACACACATACACTAAAAACAAAGGTTCTTATGTTCAGCAGTGTAGAGCTCCTTTGAAATTCCTAAGCAACTTATGAAAAATCCCACTGCTCAGTGACTGCGTGGATGTAAGACACTCAAAGCCATCCTCTTTGAAGTTTTAATTGGTTGTCTTTATCTCTTGGGAAAGGTAATTGCTCCTTGCTCATAATTATCATGAAATTTCCTGTGAACTGTGGTATCTAGAGGTCTACACACACACGCAAAGGCACAGGCACACACGCCAGCTTGACGTTAATGAACAAGACCAAACAGAAATTACTGCAAGCATTATTTTAATACAAAAGAGAACAAAAAAGGATTTATAATCTTAACTTTTTTTTACTTTTACACAATTGCACCCCAGACTTTTTCCTCTTCATCATACTGAGAGAGTTGCACAGACTCAAAAGGTGAATCCATTTTATAGCCCTTACCCCCTCCCTCCCCCTGACACAATAAATAAATAAAAATCACCTTCCGATTTCACTTTCATTAGGTATTCACATACTTCAACTTGTCAAAGACAAGACTATTCAAAGCGCCATTTAAAGGGGGGTATGTTTATATATCCCCATAATCCATTTTTCTAAGAGCTTCCAACATTAGACAAAATGGGAAGCCATTTTTGACATGATCTAGAGGCTGTAGTCACTGGCAAAAAGGCCACCATTGGAATCAGTCAGCTTCCTGGTCCGTTACATCAGAAATGATCGTCAGGAAAAATTGTTATAACAGAAGCGGAAACACAAAAAGCACAAAGAAAATCATTGTTATCGGACTTATTCTAATACTAGTTTTTCCCAGAAGGTGATATGATACTGTAATGAAAAATAAATACACATTTTTTCACTAGAAAAGAAACAAAACAAAACCAAAAATACATTAGGGTTATAAATTAACCATGAAACATTCACAATTTTTTTTAGTTTTTGCATACTGTGAAGCAACTAAAAGATCTGTGTAACATAGTATCTGTAACATGTACTGAGCATGGTTAAAACACATCTATGACTGCATGAGCTTTAGGGCAGCAAGGAGGGAGGGGGTGGAATTACATTGAAGGAGAATGTCAGTCAGTGCACACTTGTGAACTTCTTATCTGCTATATGAGTCACTTAAGTGCTTTCAGGATTTAGGATTTCCCATGTTTGTCAAACGACTTTATAGAAAGAAACACCTGGACATTAAATGATGTCAGTTTGTTGTGACAACAGGGAAGTTGTGGCCTCACAGGGCGGTGTGGTCAAAATGGCCAAGCGTCTGACTTAATGGCAAGGCCAGAGCAATGAATCTTCCACCACTTCCTCTATTTGTTATTAAGTTAGTTCACCATGAAAGAAACTACCACACAAACCACACACACATACACACACACACACACACACACACAGACACGCACACACAAAATTCCAACATGCTTTAGGTGTAGAAGAGGTTGTGAGGTTCTAGAGTAGACGCTTGGGCTTTATTTTCCCCTCAAAAGTAAAACACTCACACCTGGGCAAAAGGCCAGGAGTTTTGCATATAGCAAAGAGGGGTGAAAGTTTTTCCACTGGCTTATTCAAATAAATCCTAGTGTAATGTGTGTGCCTATGAGAATCTGTACTGGAACTGAGGCTATACCATCTTCCAGTCTCAGCACTATGGAGTGGGTAAGCCGTTGCATATTGAGGATTCTGAGATGAACCCCCACCCCCACCCCCAGTTCCAGTGAGTTGGTGCAACTTCATGCGTCCAAATGGGAACTTGAAGTTGTGTGTACATGTAGAGTTCACACAGCTGGTGTACAGCTCAGTCACACGTTCAAAAAACCCAAGAAGTCAGTCAAAATTAAGGACAGAAATGTGTAACACAAATAAGGCAGCATCATTATGGTTGTTAAGTGAGAGGAGTGGGTGATGGTTCAAGGGTCAGCAGTGTCCAGCTGTATTGCGAGCTGCTCAGAGGAGAGAGCTTGAGCCTGGACAGACTGGACTTGGTTACTGAAGCTCCAGGTCTCCTCTGGTCTGGTCAGTAACCATGTGCCTGTGCTGGAGGTGGGCACACTGGCTGGCTGGCATGCGTAGAGAGTCGGTGTATGTGCATGTGGAAGAGAGAAGAGAGGTGCAGCATCAAGTTCCTCTGCCCCATCTCCACCACCTCAGAGAGTTTGATGCCATGAAGATGAAGGCTCTACTTCTTGCCCGCTGGTGTCTTGGGGCTTGGGGTCTTCTTCATCGTGGGGATTTTGGAGGCTTTGGCCCCAGGTCGGCGTGGTGTATCTGAGGTGTCTGAGCAGGCCGAACGTGTCTCCATCAGTTCTGAGGCGTCTGAGGCGTCACTGCCCCTCCGGCTGCTGGCCCGGCTTCCGGCACGGCTGCCTGCTCGACTGGTGGGCCCGCTAGCCGAGGTGGGAGTTCGCTTATTGTCTGACGGAAAGAGAGAGAGGATTAGGAACATTATGAAAAAACACTTACAGACAGTTGTAAAGGAAGTATACTGTTTGACAAATGTTTGGGAACACATAGCTTCTTAAAATGTTTTTAAAAAATGAGTATGGTTTCTTTGTCATTTTGCTATATTATGTAGAAAGTTGGTCATATCTTGCCATTTTTTTTGCAAAAACTGCAGAACAGAAGGAACAACAGACAAAAGAACTGTCTTGCCATAATAATGCCATACCCTCTGCATTCCTTAGATTTGTGATGTCAGCATTCATCAGCAAATCTTTCAGAAGTTACAAACATCTTTGGGCCAAAACATTTTTAATATGTTTTTAACAGTACTTGGAAAAAGGAAACTGTCACTGGCATTTAACCCTTTGTAGGTATTTTATCTTCCCCATGAAGCAGTGAGCTCTTTCCTCACCAGAACGTCCAGGTTTAGCAGCAGGTGTGGCACCACCGTTCTCTCCTGTCAGAGAGCCACGGCTGGAATGGAAAGTCGGCCTTTTAATCTTGGAAGTGGAGCCTCCCTGCAATTAGAGGAAGGCAGAACGTACTTAATGTAATGTAGCCTTCATAATGTTTAATCCGTGAAACGTTAACACAATTTTGAAAAGAAAACTTTCTGAACTTAGATGAACTTGGTTAAAGCATGCTGAAACCTACAATACATATAGCTTAATGGAAATCACACAGTTTGCTTTCCAGCCTTACATATATTAAGCTTGATTATATCTGACTGAGGGTATTGAGGAACTGCCATTTCTGTCCTAGCTTTGCTGAAGGTTACTGGTATGTGCTCAGAAATCTTAAAGCCTCTTGAAGCTCTTTACTGTTAGTATGTTAGGGTTTTTGGGAGAGGGGACGCCATGTGTTACCTCGTGCCCAGGGGTGTGGCTGTGCTCTGGGCCGGACTGGCACTTGGTTGGAGTTGGAGTTTTACTGTGTGCCAGCCAGGGCTTGGCATAGCCCCGCGAGTGAGATTGGGAGGACTGGGAAACAAGCAGGAAGGAGGAGGTGGAAAGCAAGGTGAAAGCAGTGAAGGAGCAGAGAGGAAGGGAAAAGGGAGATGGGGAAGCAAGGAGGAAAGCCAGGAGCACAGCGCAGTGTAGTGTATTGGGCAAGTGATGATGAACACAAACACAGAAGGGAATTGGGGAAGAGGAACATTTTCAAGGCACGGGAGAGCAGAAGGACAAGAAGACAAAGAAACAAATAAAAACCCCACAGATGACAAAGTGATTTTGACATGCAGAGACAACAGTAAGCACAATAACCCAATCAGTGAATGTCTGAAGTCAAAATGGCAACAGAAGTAATGACGGTGCTCAGAAGTAACAACATGAGACAGACAACTGGATACAGGACAGAACAGACAAACGAGGGTCTAAACTGTGCTATAAGATTAATGGCCGTTAAAATAATAACAATAATAAAAAGGTGCAGGATTAGCCTAACCCTATATTCCTCATTCCTTCACTGCTGTTTTGGTGTTTGTCCTCCTAACACACATGATCCAATCAGTTACTTAACAAGACTATGTTAAATGTGCAGGATAGGGAAAATCCAGGAACGGGATTGTGAAATACTGCCATAATCTGTTTTTGCCACAGTGCAAATTCTACAAATCAGACAAATAGAAATTTATAAATCATATTTTATTATTATAGATGCTTTGTAATTATTTCATTTTGAGATTTGATGATCACTAACACAAACATACAAAAGGAAACAAGGACACATAAGTATGAAAGACAACTCAGTATGTGTGGAGAATGACAATGTGTGACAGAAAATGGTGAATCTGACAGATACAGAGACTGATGTTTGTGAGAATATGTTTATGAGAATACCCTCCTCTAGCATTTCCCAGTCATGACAAACTTACCCTGGAGGAGGCAGTGGGTGTGGCAGGGGCGGAGGGCAGTGAGGTGCAGCTCTGGGCACTCTGGGAAGCTGAGGAAGAGGAGCGGGTGGGCGAGGCCGTTCGGGAGGAAGGCTTGGAGCGCCTGCCACGTGAACGGAATGCCGCCAGCCCTTGTGAGGCTCCTTCTGGAAGAATGAACTTCTCCCGCAGCTCCAGGTTGGTACGTCCCCGGGCTGCATCAAGAGAGGCAGGGAGGGGAGACGGACAAACAACACAACAACATTAGCATGCTGACCATCAGACAAGGTCATCAGGCATCGAGCAGTGGGAGTGGAGAGCGACAGTGCTTCCCCGGTCCACTGCTTCAATCAGTGTGTGGAGAAGTCAGTATATCCACTTTAAACAGGGATGTAAGTGCTTGTGGCAGACAGTGCAGGAGTTTAATAAGGGTAGTGAGCAGTAGGCAAGCACCCAACTCAGGGGGTTGGGCTCGATCAGTGCACAGACAACAGAGGCCACTCCAAAAGCACAACCTCTCTTCTCTCAGTACCCACCGCTGTGCTCCAAGGGGCTCTCTTTTTGATTAACACAAGTGCAATCCCGCAGTGCATAACGTTTTGACACACCTGAGAGGCATGGCTGGTTATGTATCAGGCACACCAAATGCCAAACACTAGGGCTGCAACGATTAGTTAGAAATCTACAGCATTGATTATAAACTAATGATTTTTGTTGTCGATGTGCTATTTACTTAAAGTGATACACAGCCATTCTGACAAGCTGCAATATACTACGGGAAATAATGTGGGCGATATAACTTGTTTTGTTTTGTTGTTAAAGCAATGCTTTACTTTTTAAGAAAAAATAAATCTTCAAATTTGAATGTGTCATTTTAAACTTATTTCTAGCTGAAACAGAACATAATAGGCAGGTTAGTAGATTAAATGAAAAACAGTTAACTGGTTAACAGGTTGATAGATTATAAAGATAATCGATAGTTGCAGCCCTACGAGATATTGACACAGGCCTCTGGTCCAGAGACATGGAGAGAAGCATTCAAAAAATAATAAGAATATCAATAAAAAATAAAACAGATACCAAACTCAGCAGCGCCAGCACACAACACAGCCCAGAGCAGCCAGCCACAGACAGGAGCAGGAAGAGAGAGAGAATGGAGGACAGAGAGGGAAGAATGAAAGACAGAATGAAAGAAAAAGGGAGAATAGAAGAAAAAGGGGGAAGAGGGCTGTGCACAGTAGCAGCGGTGCACTGTAGCCGTGGGTCAGTAGCTGTCCTAAGCCTAACGACACAACCCCTTTTCCATGGTCTCGAGCAACAGCGGGCCAACTGATAATTGGTGGAGCACCATATAATTTTTTTCCCCATAAGCAAGGTACAGTCTGTAATTCGTTTCCCATGAGTGGACCGTTTTAAGAGCTGCTTCAGAGCAATATTAGAAACCCAGGCTGGCCACACCCAGGTCCTGCTTGATTTGCTATGCTAATCGTGGACACTTATAACATGCCAAGACCAGGCTTGGCCAAGCCCTGCATGAATGAAAAGCATGAAGCTAGCTGGCACAGGGATTGAGACGTCCCCACACACACGTAACCTCACACCAACATCCGCACACACGTTCACAGACACAGCAGAGAGGAGATGGATCCAAAGCTCGACAAATGGGTTTAAGAATCTGAGAATGGAGAGAGCAGAGGGATGATGTCACATAGTAAGAACCGAAAAGTGTGAGAGAAAGAGCAGGAGAGTTGGAGAGAGTGAGGTACCTCTGCAGCAGAAATAGCCAGGAGTGACCGTCACTGAGAGACACAAGAGACAACATGAAGTAAACCCATACATATACACAAGCGCAAACACTTTCATCAACACACTACACAAAATGCAACCACACACCAACCTCTACTGTATCATGAAGTGAGTAGTATTAGGGGGGTAAATTTCAGACCTCACAATGCTTTGATTCTTAATAAACAATTCAATGCATCATGAAATGTCCAATTTCACCAATATGCAATTACTCTGATATGATTCAGAATTATGTTAAAGGGCCCATAGCATGACAATCAAAAACTCTGACTTCAATGATTTTTTTGATTTAAATGACTGCATTTACATATATCCACCTATTCAGCCTACAGCACTTTAGTTCCACCCACTCATGCTGAAGTTGTAAGGAGTGCTTAAACCCAGACCGCTATTTAAACGAGGCACAAAAGAGCAAATAAAAAGTTTTATAAGTGGACCTCTGGGGAAAAGCATAAAATACCCAAAAATGAAGGATATGGGCCCTTAAAAAATAAATAAATAAATAAATAAATACAGGTGTGACTGGAGGAATTTTTTACACAGTAGTGGAATACAGATTAGGGGGAATAAACGATATTATCAAATATCGCAATAATTTCAACCAGTGACGATATTAAGTACATTATCATTTTATTTTTTATCATGTACCCTTGCCATGTGACTTTTTTTGTTTTTTTGTCATTCTTTGTGTTTAACCATTGACTTTGTACAAGTATTCTAATTTATGGTAGGTTAAAATTGTTGACCTAAGCTATAACAGCAAAGACGGCATTTTAGTATAGACCATGCAAACATAACTAATTAACTACAAATGTACGTTTTTAAAACGCCACTTGAAAAGATCAGAATGTAGCGTTTCAGTCTGGCAAAGAATGCTGGATATATGCAAATGAAACACTCCGCTACATGTGACCTTCTCCTTAGACAGTGAAAAATGGATGCGCTTGTACAGAAGAAGCTTGTACAGAAGAAGGGTGTTACCACGCCTGTTTGGCAGTATTTTGGTTTCCAACCAGACGAACACAGAGAACCGTTAGATGTTAACAGTGTTACATGCCGTCTATGCAGAAAACTGATCATCACCAAAGGCGGCAATACAGTAAGTACTTCACAGTATGAGCTGCCAAGCTGTAAGTACTTCAGCAAGACAGTGGTGCCTGAGATGTACAATAATGTTAATTGTGTATGAAACAATCTAGGTTGTTAAAGACTATAATCATAATAATATTAATAATTATTATTGTTATTTCTTCTAACATAACTGTTTTTTCCAGAATTAAGATTCACTGCTATAACTCTCCTTTGCTGTTCTGCTGAGATGCAGCAGTTCACTTACATAGGCTGCAATAAGATGATCACGTGACTGAAAGGCCCACTCACTTGGGTTTTCTTCGTACATTAATTTTTAAACCTGATAATATCGTTTATCGTGATAATTCTGGAGATGATAATCGTTTGTCTAAATTTACATAAATCGCCCAAGCCTAATACAGATAATACAGCAAGCTTTTTGTTGGATTTCTCCATTTAGAAATAAGGGGGTTTATTTTAACCAAAAATGAGTGCATAGTTAAACATTATAATTGATTCTTACATTCCAGAATGGATGCAATTGGATCGCTAGATCGATGATCATGATGCACCAATTCATTTTTACATTTTCATACGGTCAGAAACTCAGACACACTTCAGATATATACAGGCATAAAAACCATATGCTCTACTTTATAACAGTGGTCACCATGTGATGTGTGTTGAATGGGGGGCTCTGGAACACATGGACACACAGTCCAGCCCCCATGCCCTGTGAGGCACAGCCACATGTGAGCAGACAGCCAGGGGGGGGATGGTTAGTTTAGTGCTACGGTCAGCCAAGCACGGCACAGCAGAGAGGAACCAAAGAGGATGTGAGTGAGACAGATAAAAGACAGAGAGGGAAATAATATGTTTTACTAGGAGAAAGAGAGGTAAACTGAACGAGAAAGAGAGAGAAAGACCCAACCTATACGAGATGATATGGAGCTGCTGGAGTCGGAGCGAAGGATTTTAAGTCCTGGATGTTGCACTGGGGAGAGAGAAAGAGAGATAGGGGACGGGGCAAAGAGAAAGGGAGGGAGAGACCTAAGGAACATGCATCATGCACTACGATTCCCACACAGAGAGATAGAATGAGTGAGAGAGAGAGAGAGAGAGAGAGAGAGACACAGAGAGAGAGAGGGGGCCAAATATATAGGCCATGTATATGAAAATACAGAGGGGGGAAATATGAAGAAATGGCAAATAATGAGAGGAGGTCAGAGAGATCCAAAGAAATGAAGAGATATTTCTGTGACCTGAGACGATAGGAGCTCCCACAGCATAAAGTGGGGAAAAAGAGTGAAGGATGATGAATGGAGTAATGATAGAACTGATAAACTGCTATATCATAAAGACAGAACATGCTAGGAAGTACCGTATATCTGTCAGAGTGCCAGATAGCTCAAACTTATCTGGATCCTTCCAAGCACTTGGTTCCAGTGTTTTTGCATATGGAATATAGGTGTGTGTGTGTGTGTGTGTGTGTGTGCTTACGTAAATAAACCCTACCTCTGCAAGGGTCGTTCTTGACCAGGAACTCGTCCAGGGCCATCCAGCCCCCTCCAACACGCACCATGACTGTGCTGCGCAGGATCCGCACCAGGCGCAGCTGCTGCGAGTCCCCGAACTGAGAGCGAGGAGGATGGATGGGTGAGAGGTGAGGAAGAAAAGAATGTTTGGGATGAAGATAAAGAGAGGTAAAAAGGCATTAGAATCATCTGAATGCCTGAAACATTTTTAGACCTCAAATATACTAAGTAATGCGACACACTGTACAGAATCAAAGTAAATTACATGGTATCCATGCAGAAAAACCACATGCATTTTGCATTCTAGATGATTCAGGATCAAGCTCAGCCCCGTAGTCCCAAAGCTCTACACCAGCTTTAAAAACATGTACCATAGTATTTTAGGTACAAAATTAAACATATAACTATATTCTTTTGTGAATGTTGAATAAAATACTATGGTACAAAAATGATATTTTACTAAGCCATAAGATCTCAAGCACTTCTTTCCTTAAATGGATAACTCCTCCACCAGAGAAAGAAAAGGACCATATACAAATATCAAATCTTGATCTTTCAAATGCCATTTTAACAGTCACAATCACAAAAATCCAACACATGAACTGAGCCTGTGAAATCTGCTCTTGTGAGCTGGCAGAGCATACAAATACATGCCCAGCATATTTGGGTAATAGCTATGTAACCCTTGCCAAGCAGACGGGAAATGCCTTCTAACTGTGGCCAAAAGAGGTTCAAACAATTCTCTACAAATCTCTACAACATCCAGTGGCATGTAATGTGAACTGACATTAAACTGCCACTCCATTCAGCATAGAAGCTGCCTGAAAAACACACTTGCCTTACATATTATGAAAGAAATAAAAACTGATCAGAATCAAAAGGCAACTTCTATCAAGCAAAGAGTAGTATTGTGCAGCTGAAGCAGATTTCACAGGCTGTCACAGCCACGCCAGTCACTTTACCTGGTTCCCAAGGAAGAACTACAATAAATCCAGCAGACATGGAGGAGAAAGACAACAAGGAGAAAGAAAGAAGAGACAGGGTGAAATAACAGGTACAGACACAATGTTGAAAACAAGTTCAATCTGCCTGAAATTACCTTTCGAAACGTTTAACTATGCGTGATATGGTTCTACCCTATTCAAATCCTACATTGATGTACTTCTCACTCGACACTGGTTCTAGCCTATTAACATGTATTAATGTAACTAGGAATGGATGGACATAAGAGTTTTAGAGTTAAGACAGTTTGTTCTAATTGCTGTAAATGGGTTAGAGTGCTTGTCAATAGTGGAAACAAGGAGACAGGTGTAAGATGACAAAGTATAAGGGGTGAAAGCAAGACAGACACAGACAGACAAATGAAGAAAGGCAGCTCAGTCAGTAAGTGTGATGGGCCTGTGCAGTCCAACAGGTGAGTCTTGCTGTCAATGTCATTAACCAATGGATAATTACAAAAGGAGTAGCTCCTTCAGTCACTGGAATTATGAGACGATCGTTAGTTGGGTGGTGGAAAGCACACACTGCATACAACTCCGGGTTTGCTGTGTAGGTGTTGCAGTGGTAGTGCAGTGAGCTAGTTCACTCATGTAGCACACTCATAAAATCAGCGATGCACCTTTAACCCAAAATGGCATAACATTATGACACATTAAAGAAAATGTGATGTTGGTTAGAATCTTAGAGTTGTGAAAGTGTAGCATGATGATGGACATTAAGTAAACAGAAATGTAACTGATGTTTAGGTTGAAGAAACAAACAGTGGCACTACATAATATAGGATGTCATGTAGCATGATTAAATAGTGCTCTACATTCAGCACCTACACTGAGTTCAGGATTAGTTTTAACATTTAGTTTAACATTTCACTCACCCTGTATTTATTCTCTCCAATCTGCTCCACCTGGAACCTCTTGGCACACTTACACTGGGCTACTTGTCTGGTGACCTGTACAGGAGAAATGGACACATTTTCAGTAATAGCTCAGAATACTCTCAAACAGATAGAATGATACATACAGACTATGCGATTATATTTTCTTACCTCATCTTCAATCTTATCTGCATCTGTAGTGGGTCTGTAAGCATCCTTGTTGGGGTGCAGAGCTGCCACAAACTCGTAATAATCTATGTAACCATCTCCGTCACGGTCAAAGATGTCAGCCACTGCACTCATTTCTAGTTTGCTGGTGGGGAATTCTGTTGGAAAAATACACATTAACATAATCAATGCACATATTTAAAGATCCTCTTTAAACGTGATTGTAACGTTTCCCTTTTGGTATGTTGGATGATCAATGGTAGTCAAGTATTAACAAAAGATGTTACAGTAATGTGGTAGTTATGTGAATATGTATTCATACTTGAGGCCAGGATGCCATCAATAAATTCCTGCCGAGTGATTTTGCCATCCTGGTCCTTGTCGATGCGTCTAAAGAAGTCCATTACACGGGACTTCTTATGGTTCATCCAGCGCATGTACTTCTTTCTCCACACATCAAAGTCAAAGTTGGCAAACTCTTTCAGCTGAAGAATGGGAAGGACATGAAGTGAACAGCGAGGAACATATCAATCTGTGCTTCGCATAATAACTGGAGGGTTTATACACACTATCCATATCTTTATAGATGGTCATAATTCACAGATCAGTTTGTAGTATCACTTCTACTTAGCTTTTCTTCAGATTTTATTTTACAGTAAAGATTTCTTTGCTGTAACTTTCTCTATTTTTCTAAATACCATTGTCAGGCACACCAAGTCAATTTCAAGATGATGTGCTATAAAAATTAAGCTGTAAAATAAACCTTTTGCTGTACCTCTTCCAGCCTGTCAAGGGCATCGTAGAGCTTGCGCTGCCGGTCCAGGGCCAGCAGCCACACTTGTTGCCAGCGGGAGCAGAGCTGGGTGAGGCGGGGGTTTCCTCCAGTTACCTGAACAGCATGCTGTTGTTGCTGCTGCTGCTGCTGTTGCTTACCTGAGAGAAAGAGAACCAAGAGATATTTTAACGTAAGATAAAGACAAGTAGATAGATAAAGACGAGTAAACACAAAATGCAGCTTTTAAATGATCACTACATTTGTTGAAGGTAAAGATTTCTTAAAGACCTATATCACCATGTGAAAAAGTAACTGCCCCTTTAAACCTAATAAATGGTTGTGCCACCCTAGGCAGTAACAACTGCAATCAAACGTTTGCGATAACTTGCGATGAGTCTTTTACATCACTGTGGAGGAATTGTGGCCCACTCTTCTTTGTAGAATTGTTTTAATTTGGCTACACTGGAGGGTTTTCGAACCTGAACTGCCTGTTTAAGGTTTTGCCACAGCATCTCGATGTGATTCAAGTCAGGACTTTGACTCAGTCACTCGAAACCTTAATTTTGTTTATTTGAGCCATTCAGAGGTGGACTTGCTTATGTGCCCTGTATCATTGTCCTGCTGCATAACCCAACTGTGCTTGAGCTTTAGGTCACAAACAGAGGGGTCTAAATTGCTGTCTGTCAGAAAAACCTGAAGGAGAGAATTCATGGTGGATCATAATCAATCAGGATCATAATTCAATTATGACAAGCCACCCAGGTCCTGCAGAAGCAAAGCAGCCCAAAACCATCACGCTACCATCACCATGTTTGACTGTGGATATGATGTTCTTATGAAGGAATGTGGTGTTAGCTGTACGCCTGATGTAACGAGACCCATGTCTTCCATAGAGTTCAACCTTTGACTGATCAGTCCACAGAATATTATCCCAAAAGTCTTAGTGGTCATTTAGATGTCTTTTGTGTTCTTTTTGGTCAGCAGTGGTTTGCGCCTTTTTTGAAACTCTCCTATGGATGCTATTTGTGCTCAGTGTCTTTCTTATAGTGAAACAGTGTACATTGACCTTAACTGAGGCAAGTGAGGCTTGCAATTCTTTAGACATTCATCTGGGTTCCTCTGTGAGCTCCTGGATGGGTCATTTATGTGCTCTTGGTAAAATTTTGGTAGGCCAGCCACTTCTGGGAAGGTCCTCCACTGCTCCAAGTTTTCTCCATTTGAGGATAATGGCTCTCACTGTGGTTCGCTAGAGTCCCAGAGCCTTAGCAATAGCTTTGTAACCCTTTCCAGATGGGTAGATTTCAACTGCGGCTGTTTTGCATCTGTATTTGAATGTGGCATCGTGCTGCTTTTGAGACCTTCTAAGCCTGCTTCACATTGCCAGACAAGTTCTATTTAAGTGATGTTCAAATTCAACAGGTCTGGCAGTAATCATGCCTGGGTGTGGCTAGTAAAACTGAACCCAGTAGTCAATTGAATTTGGTTAACTGGTGGATTTAGGCATACTTACTCCACTGTAAAATAATAATCATTTTAACTTATAACTGGCTGTTTTAAAATGTCAAATTCACTGAAAATTTAATAATACGTTAATGTGTGTCACATTCTATTAACTCATTATATGCAGTAAGCTACAGTAAAATTCAAAATTTTGTAGGCACTTGGTTACTTTCCTTTTCAAGTTTGTTTTGGTTTATTTTACATGATTTTATTTATAAGACCCAATAAGCACTGCTAAATGGCTGTGTAAATTCTTAGGTTAAATAAAGTCGCAACTGCACATATTACAGGTTAACGATATCCCAAACAATTGTACAATGAATTGGGCTGAGCCCCAGATATTTATATGACCAGCCAACGCCCCTGCTACTTAGCAACATCCTCAGTCCTAATTACAAAAATAACATTCTATAAATATCCAAAAGTAATCCTTGTGTGCCATTTACGCATATACTCTACATTCATGTGAACGCATGTGGTGCAGCAGAGGAAGAAAGGCCACTTACGTGCACCCCGTCTCTCAGCCAGGCCGCTGGCAGGCTCTGCTGGTTTCCTCTTATATGTCTTTGTTACTTTGTCCACATCAGGCTGCTTACGAGTCATTTCCTCCATGAACACCTGAGAAAGAGCATATACAGCATATGTTCTAAAATATGTATGTCAATATATGAATACAAATGTATGACAATTGTCTGTAGATTTTTTAAAGTCTACTGAGGTTATTTTCATATTCATATGGGTACGTAAAGTGATGAACAGTTTAGAGGTTAATGAAGGCAGAAGTCCCACCCACCTGGTGTTCTGTGATTAGCGTTTTCAGTTGAGGGATGTCCTGGGGGAGGGGCTCTGTGTCACGCTGCACTAACGTAGTCTCTGCCCACTGTAGCCACGACAACAGCTCCTCCAACAGTGCTGCATTGTTGAGTAGTTCGGTGAGAGCTCCTTCCAGCCGCTGCTCGTGCTGCTTCGCCCACGTTAGAACCTGGAGAGCAGTTGAAACACATTAGTTAGGGCCATATTGATCATTCTAGCAGTCCAGAATTCAGTAATGTGCCTTTATAGAGTGCGAAACACAGCAAGTGCAGGGCTCCAATATTTGTTAAATATTATGAACTGAACATTGTTTCCTTGCCACAAGCAGTGGCTGATAAAATAGGTCTTTTTCTATAACATAATTTTAAAAGAAAACAATGTCATCGAATTAAAGCAAAGCATAACAGCATGCATGTTTTGCATAACAGCATGCATGCATGCATGCATGTCTGAGCTGGGACCTCCACCAGGCTCCTCCTCTCTCCTCCTTTTATTTTTCAAAATAATAACAATTCAACAACAGACCGCTTCATCTTTGGCACAAGGTAACTGGACTGTTTCACGCGTTTTATCATCACTGCGCTGTTTGTGCGCGTGTAGTTGATGATGAAAGTTGGAGGTAGAGAGAGGCCGACTGAGACAGTGAACAAAAAAAGTACTACTTTCAAACGGGTACCTGTGCTGAAGCGACACCTAAACAATCTAATGATCATCGTGCACTCACACAAATATGACCACGAGAAATTTTTATATTTTTATATAATTTATACTCGCGCACACTGAAAAAATTGGTCACAGTCAAGAGCCCTGAAGTGGCCAGACATTTTATAAATAAAATGACTTTAACAGACATTTCATGTTGCACTACCTCTTCAAAGCGTGCCCTGATAATGGTGATCCAGTGTTTGATGGTGGTGATGCAGTCAGGATGGCACACCGCTAGTATGGCCTCCCCCATGCCGGCTGCTTTGTTCACATCTACTCTCTTTTCCTCCACAGTCTGCATAAAGTCTCGGTGAGTGTGCAGTAACTCCTGGAGAGTCTCCGCTTCTTCTGGCAGGACACCCCGGAAACGCAGGGTTTGCTCTGCCTCCGAGAGCCATTCCAATAACATTTGCACTGCTGTGCGGAACTCCTCAGCCTGCGTGATGACAGAAGGTAGAGCGACAAGAGAGGGAGGGTAAGGGAAAGATGGGGAACACAGAAGGAAATGACAGCCAATCATATTCCATGATTACATAAATAATTGTAATTTATTATAAAACTATGATAATACAATGAAGATAATGAACAATACACAATTAATATTTGCAATGAATAGCCATTGTTATTTATTATTCTTGTATGATATATTCCTAATAATTGAAACCTCTAAACATTAAATCATGTTATGCTTTAGTTTGCTTTTATGCATTATTACTGTACCTACATTACTGTATTAAAATTTCACGCTAAGCTTAATGTGCAGACTCACCTGTTTGAGAGCCTGCTGGAGGCGGGTTTGTTTAGTCACAGACAGTGCACACACTGTGTCCCAGCGGTTGCTGAGCTCTTGTAGTTGAACTTTGACCCAGGCAGTGTCATCCCGGCCTGTCTCCATGAGCTCCCGGGCAGAGCGCTTCAGAGCCTGCACACTGCTGGTCCTCTTCCCAAGCTCCTTCTGGAAGGCCTACACATCCACAAACAGCACTGTCATCAAACTCAAATACTGGTTAAGGTTAAGGTTTTCAGTCGCAAACCTTTACTATAGTTCACTACTGCAGTGAACATACTTTGTCATTTGTGTGGTCACGGTGTCCATCTTATGTCTTTAATCAAAGGAAGAACAACATTTTGTCTTAATGTCATTTGTACCTTATGTGAGTCCATGAGGTTTGAGACTAGGTCCAGGTCTCCATGGACTGGTTGGTCCTCAGCCAGCTGGGGCTCCACACGATACAGCCAGTCCACCAGAGCCTGCAGGGCCTCGGCAAACTGACCTGAGAACAGCAGAGCCTCCTCCAGCTTGTGTTGCCTGACAACAAAAAGACAGCATTAACTTGTTTTAGTCTTTTATCATGTCGGCATTAAAATGGTTCCCATATTAAACTGTATTAATATGGTTCTCCTAAATATATGTCTCTTCTCACCTCTCTACACTCTTCCCACACACGGTGTCCCACCTGTCACGGACCTCACCCAAGAGGTTGTCCAGTTTTTGAGTGTCAGCTGGGAGTGTGGCCTTGTCTCTCATAGCCTTCCCAGAGCGCACTGTAGTGTCATACACTGGCTGCTTGGAGCCAAGAGCCTTCTGAAACTCCTACAATTCACAAACAAAAAAGAGGGCTTAAGTGACAAAATTAACAAATTTCGGCTAAAAGAAGATTAAAGCTCAATCTAGCAGCTCCCCACTAAATAGTGCAACACTGACATTCTAACCAAATTAAGATGATTTTTGGGATATATTTTGGGTGCTTATGCTTGTGATCAACTTTAGACAGGAGACAGTCTCATTTTTCAAACTGATTTGCTAAAGGCCACCTTCTAGTCAACAAACTGGTGAGTACATACTGATAATGACTTAAAAGACACACACATGCAATTTGCAGGAACTCTTTGTACCTTATGTTTTGCTAGCTGCACTTTGATTTTGTCAGGCTCATTGGAAATCTCCAGCTCAGAGTCTAGCCTACTCTCGGCCTCCTCCAACCAGTCAGTCAGCTTCCTCCAAGCCTCGTGAAACTAAACACAAACACAGTGTTAGAAATGGCAGGCAGAGCAAAGAACAAAAAACACAATATAACAGACAGTGGTACCTGTTTGGCTCTCTTCCGGGCCTCGTCAAGGTGTCGTCCCCTGTCTAGAGACCTTTGAACCAGCTTGTCCCAGCGAGCCTGCACGCTCAGCAGCAGGTTCTTGATAAGCACTACGTCCTGTTTAAGACTGGCAAAGCGCAGCTGGGAGCCCACCTTCTCTAGAGCCAACACCTGTTCCCTGTGAGTGTTCACCTCATTCACAAAAACCTGAGAATCATGAGAAATCATCAGGGTCAGGACATCACCACCTACAGATCATGAAAACTGATTTTTGGGAGTGTATATATATATACACACACATACACACACTACTGAGCTCTGCTGAATCAAGACTCATCTTTTACCTTGTGCTCATCTATCTGGAAGAGGACAGTATCGAGGATGAGGCTGGGTGGCTGGGCCATGTTAAGGGTCTGCTCAGCCTGTGTCAGCCAGTTAATGGTGTCCTGCAGAGATGACTGGAACCCTGTGGCCAGCGAGACAGCCTCCTCCAGCTTAGCCTGATGACAGAGGAAGGAGAGGGACGGAGTGAGGACTAGATGGCTACTCAATGACTAATTCATTTATTATATTTAAGCTTTGTGCTAAGTTTTATAAGGGATAATTCTCTTACCCTCCTGTCATCCATCTTTGTGTTCAGGCTGGCCCACTTGTTTTGGAGCAGGGCCAGGTTCTGCTGGGTCTGGGTGGTTCCCGGGCCGGCCTCCTCTCCACCTCTTGCTAGCAGCATCGACTCCCCCTGATCTAGAAGGCGGTGGTACTGCTCACCACGTTGGGTTAACTGGAGCTGCAGCTCCTGCAAACGTAAGCCACAGAGATTAACAACTCCACACAGATGTATATAGTCCCTGTGAAAAGAGGACTTTGTGAGCATTTACGTTATGTGAATACAATATGATGAAAAGCAAAGCTTTAAATTTGTTTTTTAAAATACAATACTAGATGTTTTTTCTTTTCTAATAAGGTCTCTTAGATCCATGACAACATATACAGCACTATAAATATTAATTGAATATTAATAAAATGCATACTATAATCTACTATAATCTATAAACTACTATCACTGCCCTAATTTTGCACAAATTTTCAAATTATATGATGGTAATTTATTCCTATTGTTTATGCCGTATTGTATAACTACCTACATTTAACAGTACATACAGAAAAGAGAATTCTGCACTCTCTATGGATCTATAGTAGAGTGGTTACCATGTGCTGCTGCAGCTGCTCCCTGGCTGTCTCAGGCAGGCCACCTGTGGGTTTGGCAGCAGACAGCTGACTCTCTGTGCGCCTCAGCCACTGCAGGAACTCCTCCAGTTCGCCATGGAAACCCTCCGCCTGAAGGACAAAAAAAAACAAAAAAAAACAAACAACAAAAACAAAGAGGCAGGATAAAGATCAGTCAACAGATCTGCAGGCCTCACTATCATCATATTACCTCTCAAATTTCAAAGTACATTTAATTTCTTGTAATTAACACAACAAATACTACTACATATTGTCTCAAGGTCAGTCATTATTATTTGAGGCACAGTTGCATGGCTTGTAGTGGAGCACCTGCTGCAGAGCAGCCTCCAGTAGTTTCTGCCTCTCCTCGGTCTTCAGGAGCACGCTGTCCCAGCTGCGGTTCAGTTCATCCAGCTGGTCTCTCAGGTGGCTGGCTTCGTCTCCAGGGCTAGAATCCAGCAGCTCTGAGCCTGCACTGTTCACTGTCTCCACGGTGGCTCGATGGGAGAGCACATCATTCCGCAACACCTGGGAGGACAGCAAAGAGAAATGGATGGAAGGCACATCATATGTAGTAAAGTCAAAAAAGGAACTTAATTATTTTTACCTGGAGAGGTTCTACACCCGTGATTTTAATTCAGCACAGATCTCTAATGTCCACAGTTTTTAGAAGTATGATAAGTAAGGATTACAGTGTGAGTAACCTTTCATAATTTGCCAAACCAGGAGCTCCATCAGTAATAGCTGTTCTGTTAAAATCAGGCTATGATGTTTTAATTAGGGCTGCCTGTGGTAGCTTGAGAATTACAGATAATTTATTGTATATGTTTCGTTTAAACACTTGCAAATTACAATACAGAACCTGCCCAAGTAAAACTACCCCAGATCCAATAATGCTTAAGTGCCTGAAGTGGGTATATGGGAGAGGGTATACATACATGGTGTTTGGCCAGCTCAATTTCAATGGCTTTGGGATCAGAACTGATGGGTCGCTGGGTGTCCAGGGTGGCGTGGGTGTGGCTGAGCCAGGACTGCAGCTCAGAAAGGGCATGCTGGAACTGACCCAAGGCTAGCAGAGCTCCCTCCAATTTGTGCTGAGAATGACATCAAAAGTGAAAGAGTGAAAGGCATCAGTAATCTTCAATAACTTTGCTTTTCAGTTACTTTGTACTGATGATTAATGAATTACTTAATTTTTACTTAAATTATCTTAGTAGGGCAAAGGGAGGGGCATTCTAACCTGTCTGAGAGTGATCTTGTCTCCCAGGTTATCCCACAGGTGTCTGAGCTCAGTGAGAGGCTCTTGGATCATGTCCCTGTCAGTTTGGTCAGTGACCTTCTTGAGCAGCAGCTCCCCCTGGTGGCAAAGCTTCTCCATGTCAATCTGTTGTTGGTACACTTCCACCTTGTATTGCTGCTCAAACAGAAAGCGAAAAGAATTTGGTTAAACATCGGCTGAAATCTTCCGTTTCAATGAGGTAACAAAAGGTAATAAAGGAACTGATCTGAACCTTGAGCTCCTCAATCTGTTGTTTGACAGTGCTGAGGTCAGTCCCTATGGCTGGCATGTCACACAGTTTGATGACAGCATTGTCCAGGTAGTCAAACATGCCCTGAGAACAGAAACACTTATCAACATCCTACTCAACCCATATATCATAGCTGCATAAGCTATAAAAGGACAGTATCATATACCTGCAGAGCATCCTGGTACTGCACAGAGGCTGTCATAGCCTCCTCTAGCTTCTCCATCCTCTCTCTCCATGTTCGGTTCAGGCCTTCCCATGCAGCATTCATCTACAGGAAAGACCAAATTTAGCAAAAAAAAACAAAAAACAAAACAAACAAACAAACAAAAAAAAAAATCCATTCTGGTCCTAAGTCCAAAGGGATAATAACTCAACATCTGGATCACTCTTACCTCATCAATGGTCTTTTTCACCTCAGGTTTCTCTGTCTCTCCACAAGCAAAGATTAGGTCTGCTCCCAGCGTGCGTACAATCTCCAGTTCCTCTCTCAGGCCGTCTGTCTCCGCTTTAATGGCCTGGGAGCACAGATTATGCAAAGCTAAGCTGTTTACCAATAAGATAATGAACTATACAGTGTATTCTTGTGATTCAACACATTAATATTAAGCTTCGCACAGTCAAACGTGTAACCTCTGATTTTCTTTATACAATATTTTTACAATAATCGCTTGTTTTCCCTCCTGTAATACTGACCTCTGCTGCCTCTATCTGCTGTTTGATGAGTGAAGGGTCCACTCCAGGGTCCTCCAGTTCTTTCACAATTTCCTGGGAGTCTCTTAGTGTACTCAGCAGGGCCGCCATATCGGACCAGAACTTTCCAGCTAAGTCTAGGACATCTTGCAGCTTTCCCTCTCTCTCCTCAGCCCTCTGCCTGATCTCATCCCACAGAGAGCGGAGCCTTAGGAGTCGGGACCGCACCGCTGCAGAACAGCACAACTAACTTTACTTTTTGTATGTAAACAGATGAGAAGCACATAGAATTTCAGCATTTTCACAGAAAACTGATTAAAAAAAACTAACATATACTAAGTATACTAAGTATTACACTGTGTAATGAGTACTAATTCTAGTTAATTCATGTCAGTATGCTACTCTACTCAAGTATTATAACATACTAATATTAAATTTTTATAATGTCATACTCATGCCGCATCTGATTCCCTTTTAACAATTTTATTTCACAATATAAACTCATTTCCTTTTCACCAGAAAAAGGAATTCGTACCCTGGGCAGCAGGGTCATCATGCGGTGCACGAGTGATAAGCTCTTCTCCGCGGGAACAGAGGGCACTGAAGGAGGGCAACAGCTTGTCTAGTTCCAGTCCAGCCGCCCGGTGCTCAGCCAGTTGCTCACGGATCTTTTCCACCTCTGCTGCCACGGGAGGTGGCTGCCTCAAGCGCTGCACCGCACCCTCAAGCGTCTCCAGCAGGGGGTCCATCTTATCATGGAACTGAGAGAGAGAGAGGGGGAAGAGGAAAAAGGGGTCCATTATGCTAAGAACCCGATGTGAACAAAGGCCTAGAAGTAGGAAGGAAGACATTGAGATAAACTAAGAGGAGGAGTGAGAAATGCCAGAGAAACATTGGTGCAATCAAGGCTAAAGCTTAAATTGACTTGAAATCAGAGCTGTGGCACCTTGGTATTTATAGACATTCTGCTAAACAGTCAACGATAACTGGTATCAACACAGGTGTTATGGACCATTTTCACACTTCCATGTTCATTAATGTGGAAGAGTAAATAGTAGCGTTAAACGGCTTCCGGTTGCACTGTAAACAATGGCTGATACCGTCTGACATCATTTCTGCGTTCCTAAAGCACCAATAATTCAACTGAACAGCCTCACCTAAATTTCCACTCGATCAAGTTTAAAAATGTTCAACTTCAGCTGAAAAGCTTCGCTTGTCATGTGTCACTTTTAACGAGACAACCGATCAAAAAAGAGTAAAACTGAGCTGTGGCGTGAATTCGGGCTATACAGTAGGACAGATTTACTCACATTTGTGATTAAAAACACTCAGCTCCAAGACATATTTATTCACTGGTGTGGTTACAATCCTGGAGATTGTCATCACAGAGGTTAGCTTAAAAACCTTCAGAAACTGACTCCTCTCCACTGTAGCTTGGTGATTAGTTCACTGTAATGTAGAAATACGATGCTGTGTCTCTGTGCTGGTTATGGTTTTCAGGGCACTTGCTAATGTTGCTAAATGTTTGCATGGGCTGAGTAGAAAGAATCAAACCTGAAGGACTTTTTCTCCTCCAAAATGATGCACAGTGAGTGCAGATCTGTTTAGGGATGTGTGATGTGGTCTTGAACACAGAGACCCACTTGGCTCCTTCTCTACTTTGCAAAACTTGTCTCAGGCCAATTCCTCACTGTTCAGACGCAGATTTTTTTGAGGAGTATGTTCCACCGTCTGAACGCAGCTGCTTTGATACGGAGATGCACTTTCAAACGTGGGGCGTGCGGCACAGTCATCTGCCGCAGCATACTCTGTTAACCGGACTCGCCCCTGAGCTCCGCACAGTGGTAAAAACAGTCCACAGTGGCGGATGCGCAGGGTCATACAGAGTTCAAATGTTTTTAAGTTTTGCGCGACGTGCTGTAGTCACGTCAGACTAGCCTTTCCGCTCATCTTGGAAGAGCTACCAGACATGCCAACTGCCCTCCTATTAACCGTGCTAAAGGCCGTAGAACGATTTTTGAGGGAGGCTGAAAACAGGAGACCCTCTATTGCTGTTCTGTAAAATGGTGTAGGCAGAAGTTTGATAACGCTACTATTTACAGCCGGATGTGACGACACAGTGACTGTGAAAAAGGTCTTTTCACAGTACAGCAAATGAAAGAAATGCTGAGACCATGTTTTGTATAGCAAAGAAGGGTGTCCCCTTCTCCATGTCATGTGAACTATCAGTGGTTTGTGTGCTTCTATAGGTATGGTAATCCATCTACTATAGGTATATTAGGGCAGAGGGAAGTTTTTTTGAAGATTATAAAACTGCTTGTTATAGTGACTGCGATAAAAACAGCCAACACAAGTGTGTGTAAAATGTTGATAATTCTCATGTTTTATGCAGCTAAAACAGCCTGGGGTCAAACTGACTTCATAGAACATGTGTACATGACACTGAAAAAATATTATCATGTAAATTTTATGTTTACCCAGTTGTCCCCACTTAATTAGGAACAGCCACTAAATATAAAGCAAAAAAAATGTCAATCATTTATTTTCCCATTTGTTTAGAGATGTTTAACACTGAATGAGGTCAAATTGAGCCCAAAGATAATAGCAGGACTAAGAGAATTGATTTGGTTTAGTGTTTAGGCTTCTCACAGTTTTGCATATAATAATGTCTACAAAATAGGTTGGGTGATACGGCAAAAATATACTACAAATTTTCTGAGCTTTGATAAGCAGGAACAAGAACCAGTGGTGCCACATTTACAAAATACATACTGCACTGCACTAAATCCAAACAGGACTAAACATACAGTTGGCTCAGAAAAGCATATTGTAACATAATTTGACATAATTTATCACAATAACAATAAATCTTGTCATGCTGGTCATGCCTACTACAAACTACTTTAAAGTCTAGTTGTAAGCTGATGTGGGTTTATGCCATATTCACATCAGTACTCACAAGTATACTGTATAGAGTGTAGATTTGCTTCACTGAGTAACAGAATTTCTTACCTCCACCAGCTGAGGGTGTTGCAGAGAGCAGTGATGATGATGAACACACAGCACACCCACAATGAGTGATGGGATGGAAGGATGGGTTTAACAAACACAGGAGTGATGGAGTGAGAAGACGGAGGAGAGATGCAACAAGGCATGGAAAAGGGTAGTGGAACAGGGATACAAGGACAGTGAAATAAAGGACAAGAGTGGGGTGAAGATGACAGCATGTGGGGTGGTGGGGCAAAAGGGGAGCGCACAGACAAGTGAAGTAACAGTACAAAATAGTTAAAGGGACAGGGTGGAGAAACAAACAATGCGTTAATCAAATGGCATGCAAACAAGCCAGCAAGCATACCAATAACAAACACTCAGCAAACTTCTGATGATGCCATTCCAAATCAATAATGATTACAGTGCACTACAAAATACCTATCACTTAAACATAACAGATTTGCAATTTAAAAACTATAACAATGTAGGAATGCAGTTTTAACATGTGACAATGAAAAAAATAGATTACTTGACAATAGGAGCTCATGGACAGATGATGTGCATGTACGACACAATATGGCTGTGATAGAATTCTTGTTTTTATTGCATAATATTTTCTTCTAGGAGTGCATGTGTAAATAATAACAACACGTACCTGTGCTGACTGTGAGAATGCCTCGTCCAGTGCTGTAGCTCGATTTTTGACCTCCTCCTTTATGGCCAGGTAGCGTCTCTCAGCACCGCTGTATCGCTGCCTCACCGTTGTTCCCTCCTGGGCACTCAGCTCTGCTAGCTGTGGGCCAATCTTTAGCAGCTTGTCGATATGAGGCTTGTGCTCAGCTATAGACTCTCTCAGAAGCTACAGAGTGAGTAGAGGGGATTTGATCAGAGTATGTGAAAAACAGAACGATAGAGAAAAAGAAACAGATGTATCCCATTCAATTCCACTTTGTCATTACAGAAGAACATCATAATGAGAAGCTTTCTTACTTCTGCAAGAGGAATGTACATGGTATACACAACAATACACAAAAGTACATGACTGAGTAGTTTAGACAAATATTAAAGTGTAGTTCTGTGACAAACAGTTAAGGCGTTACACATGACAATACTGGACAGACAGTCCTATCACAACAGTGTGTGCAACTCTATTTAGGGCCAGCTAAATTTCTGACTAAATTTCTGCCAATGGTTAATCTCTGATGTAAATTATTTTTAACATAAGCTTAAAGTTAATCCTGGTCTGGGCAACAGGACCATTGAGTAATAAATTTTACAGCATGTGAAAAAAGGCAAAGGAAGTATAGTTAGCTTATAGCAATACTGGCAACAGTCCATGTATTATATTTACAGTCACATGTATTAAGGCATAGTCACTGAACATGGCAGTCCTGATTTAGGTCATGCATTTAGAAGAGGATGTGTGTGATAAAAGTAAGAATTGGGACTGTACTATAAACCAGACACTCACCCTCATTTGATCCTGCTGCTGTCTGAGGGCTTCTGTATCAATGGCTGGAGGGGGCAGCTGGGAGATGAAGGTTTCAGTCTCGCCCAGCCAGGGCTCCAGCTCCTCGCAGGTCTCCCAGAAACGGGCCACCAGCACCTGAGCCTGTTCCAGAGCTGAAAAGCGCTCAGCATGGTTCTGACTGACTGCCTCATAGTGAGCACTCAGTGAGTCTGTTTTTACCTATGAGCCAAGAATGAAACATGGGTGGTCAATTATCAGGAAGTTGAGTGACTGGACCCTTGCAATTACACTGAGCCTGTATTATTTATGCTATGAGGGACTTAAGGATGTACATATTAGGAAATCAAATTTTGTTAATTATAAACACTTTACTGCTCTGCTGGTCAAAATGTTCAGCTCTCTCTCCCTCTCTCTCTCTCTCTCACCTTGAGTGCCTCTCTCTGCTGCTCGCTACAGCTCTCCAGGATATCCTCTCGTGTGTTGAGGAGCTGGTCCACTGTATCCTTGTGGCGGATGATGTCAATGTTGAAGGCCCTCTGGACCTGGAGCTGAGCCACAGTCACATCAGGCTCCAGACTGAGAGGCCCCAGAGACGCCAATTTCCTCTCCGTCTCCCCCACCCAGGCCAGTTCCGCATCCACTGCCTCTTCATACTAACGTTTACACACAATTGTTACAGAGACAATATTTTCAGTCTCCCCACAGATAGGCCAGCAACATAAGCTAGGGGCTTAATTAGGAGCTAAACAAAACAAACCGTTAGAAAAGCTGACAGATAACAATAATGGACATGCAGTACACACTGTGAATTGTACTTTCTGACAGAAAAAGTACAGTACCTGCTGAGACCTCTGGATGGCTGCCTGCACAAGTTGCACTCTCTGTGTGATGGTCTCATCAGCCTGTCGGTATCTCTGGTTGGCATCAGCAACCAGGCGGTCCAGGCCCTCACGGGCACGCCACGGCACCAGGTCCAGCAGAGCACTGCCCACCTCATTGACAGTGTCCAGAACCAGACGCTTCTCAGCAGATACGCACTTTAGCTCCTGATTAACAAAAAGAAAAGCACATACATGAACACAGTCTAAGAAATTACATAAAATGTAGACACACACTTAGGTTGCTCACTCTCATACCAACGTAACTTGAATATTAGTTTCTTTGTAGTTATAATAACAAGATCAATCACTGGATGATAAGGTTTTAAATGAGTTGTCTTTAGTTTTCTAAAACATACTAGCTACCAAAAAAGCTCTTCTTACCTTCTGTCTATCCTGATAGGCTGGTGTTGTGTCTGGCTCCACATTGTTAAGCTCTGCCTCCACAGAATCCAGCCACTGGTTGAGGTCCTCATGAGCACTGGCAAATCTAGTAGCGAGCTGCAATGCCTGCTCCAGGGTGCGAAGGGCCTTGCTGCTGCCTGCTGTCATCTCTGCATAACGGCTCTTTATGCCATCTAGCTTCTCCTGGATGAGCAGCACCTCCTCACCTAATAAACAGAACAGTGAGAATAGTGAGAAAACATACAGAAAAACTGAGTTATTGCAGGATCCAGTGGTGCGCTCATACCTGTTGTCTGTTTCAGCAAAGACTGTCCATTTTTAATGGCCTGGTCCACTGTCTTCTTCCTGCTTACAATCTCCTCATTCAGAGACTAGGAGAGACCAAATGGGGAAATGCTATAAAACTGCAATTTACTTAGTTAGTATGATACATTTTGTCACTGTCATAAGAAAACTTCTGAAAGGGTCCATATCCTACATTTGTGTATTTTTTTCTGTGAGGTCCACTTATGATGTTAGTGTAGTTTTATCTGCCAAAACAGTCAATTCATTTTCACATGACTATTTTCTAATCTCTCTGTCATTCAGAATTATGCAGGCTGTATTTGTTACTGTGCTTTTAATACTCATATATATACAGTAAATGACCTCTGTTCTGATTCCCCTGTATGTGCCCTAATCAAAATGGAGTCTGGGCATGAAACACTCATGGGCAGAGCTAAACTGCTTTTGGTGGAATAGGCGGATATATGTAAATACACTGGATTTCATGACATCACAAAATCAACTAATTAAAAACATTGTTTTTGAGATGTCATGAATGCACTGGTTTCCATGGGTTTAAGGACATCATTGTGCTGTTTTTGAAGCTTAGTTTCCACATACGGACTGCAGTCTGAACAGAATATTATGAAACAATGTTTACACACTACAATAAAAAACAAGGAATATTTGGTTATAAATTCCCTTTAACATCTGCTGATCTAATTGAAGGTTTGCTTTCTAAAATATTGGGCCATTTGTGAAATGCAGACAAAGTAAAATGATAGGCTTTTCAAATGGTGCTATTCTTATTGCTATTCTTGTAACAGAAACAACTGTTTCTTGTGACAGGAACAATTTGTTAACATGTTATTATACTTTCAGTCCAATAAATGAAGAAAAAAAAAAAAACACTTCAAACACAGACGTTCCCAGACTGTGATTTGACTCCCTGCACAGTCATACCAGAGTGTGTTTGTGCTGCTCAGCCAGCAGCTCAGGCTGGTAGCTCTGCACTGAGACTTCAGCAAGTCGCTGGGCCACTTCAGCCAGCCAATTCAGCACCTCCACCTCCTCCTCCCCAAACAGCTGTGCGTTGGCCAGGGCCTGCTCCAGCATGGCCTCCCGGCGAGTGCACCAATCACGCAGCTCAGAATGCCCATTGCGCATCGCCCCTACACGCTCACTCAGCCAATCACGATCTGCCGCACAGCTAAGGGGGGATAGTGATTGGCCAAGAGCCTCAAGATGGTCCACCTCCGCTCCCCGAGAGAGAACCTCCTCTTGGAGGGCCTGAGGTGTTTCCCAGAAAAGAATATGAAAGGGAGGGGGAGAGATGACATGGGGAAAGGACAAGAAAAAGAAAAAAGAAAGAACAAAGGAAAAATGACCATGCATGATGGAAAAACTGACAACTGATAAAAGCTTAATGAATGAAAAAATGCTACGCAAATAAACAACCAAAAATCAAACACTGACATCATAAAACGTTGTATGGATAATACTGAAAACAATAAAAATATGAAATGGGGATATAAACAATATAAACTCCACAAACATGACAGAAATAAAGATAAACCGAGGTGTGTCTTCCAAGCTGGGGTTGACCAGAGGCTACATTTTCTTATTCATTTTCCCAGGGCAACTGAACACATGGGATCTTCTAAACCACATGAAAATGTATGGTAAGTTACATTGCTCACTAGCTCTTGCCAAAAAAACCCTCCAGATACCGAGACACATTTGGAATTCATCAGTTCTTTTTGACACCAGTATTTCTGGAGAAGAAATACTTTGGAAAAGAAAAGCCACGCTCTTCTCCTGCAGATGAGGTACCAGTGTATTCATGTCATTGATCATATGGCAGTGATGTGCAGTACCTTGTGGCGGCTGATCTGCTGGGTGATTTTGGAGGTCTGTGTTCCCATAGGCTCAGCGGAGCTCAGGCGTCTCTCTGTGGCACTCAGCCACTCTCCCAGAGGCTCCACTGTCTCATGGAACTGCAGAGCCAGCACCTGCAGCTCCTCTAGCTGCCGTTGCCTGGGAGAGGAGCAAGGGTCAGTGTTTGAGAGTTTGTATGTGTGGGTAATCCATATGAAAAAGTCATGAAAATGCATGTCTAACCACTGTACAACTGGTCAGGTGGTGAGGACATATTTGGAATGTGACAACAGTACACACAAATGTGTGAGTGGATACTTATTAAGCATGTTTTTAAATAGGCTTATTTGTATTATAAAGGACTATGAAGGTTCTTTAAGTCTGGATGCAGTTGTTAGGCACTTTTACCTGCCACTGGCCTTCTCCAATATGTCTGTCCACCGCTCTCCTAGGCTCTGCAGCTGCTTCTGGATCTTATCCCTGTCTTGTGACTCTGCTGTGGCAGCGATGCGCTCTCCCTCCACCATGATCATCTCTACAGTCCCCCGTCGGTCATCCAGCAACCGCTGCAGCAACTGAAAAACCCCAAAACACGAGTTCTCAGAACAGCTTCATTCATTTGACATATCAATGTAAACAAGAAAAAGGTATGTTTTTAATATAAAATGCTACTTACACAAAGCTCTAATTGAGTTTTCTCTTCAAAGTTTTTACATGTTTCTCACAGAGAACTGGCTTAATTCAATGTAAGTTCTGGGTGAAGCTGAAGCTCAGCTTTCTTTTCTTCCTGTCTGTTTTTTTATTTAATTTTTTTGTCATCACTAGTTCTGACTAAATTTATTTTAAAAAGAAACTATCTTTCCCTCATTCATGTGAGAAACCTCACCTTCTGTTCTTGAATTTGTGCTTTAACCACACGGTACTCAGCGGACGGTGGCTTCTGATTGGCTATCAGCTCTTCTGTGTCACTCAGCCAGCTCAGCAGTGGCTCCAGAGCATCTTGGAATTTCCCACAATGTAATAAGGCTTCCTGCAACTGAGCGATTCTTTCAGCAACCTAAAGGAACATTCAAACACATAGCGTAAGCATAATTTGTTAACTGGTTAAAGAATAAAGTAACAAACAATTGACAAGCGCAAGTCGTACCCTCTTGTTGAGGGAGTTCCAGCGCAGGTTAGTGGTCTCCAGGTCATGCTCCAGGGCTTGCGTGTCTGTGTGTTTGGCTGCACTCTGGATCAGCCCCTGACCCACAGCATTTACATGCTGTAGCTTAGGTTGGATGGAGTCTATCTGCTCTCGCTCCACAGCCTGGAGAGACAGAGAGCAAAGGGGGAAATTATAGGGTGAACAGGGACCGTATAATACAAAACAATTACAATTAACAAAGCAGTAACTAACTGTCTCCACTCTCTGGCCAAATCACAGGCCTTAAGCACAGAACAAGGGTATTATTCAGTCGACCAAATGCACTACACAACAATATACAGAGAATTCACATTAGCTGATGGTTAGCAAAACACAAGGGCAGCCCACAACTGGCAGCCACCAAAGGGCAAAACACAAGAATAAGAAGGTGGGCAAAATGGAAAAAAAGTGAGCTGCAAAGGGACACACACTCATATAATCTCACTTATGTCTAAGAACAAGCAGAGGCTTTCTACAGTTCATAGGTGTTTTCATGTTCAACCATTACTATCACATTCTTTTCTGAAAAACAGTGATGTGTTCTAAAACAAAAATAATTTGGTTCTGAGCCACAAGTAGTTCCCACTTGTTACTGATTTCAAGTATTTAACATCACAGTAGATAACTCACTGTGCTACCCATGGGAGACCAGAATTCCCCCCCCCCATACAGAGACCATGAATACTGCTATACCAAGAAAAATACTTTGCACAATTCTTCACACTACACTTGCTTAAGGTACCATTTCAAATTGCTCTGGATAGGAGCGTCTACAAAAAAAGGTAAATGCAACAGTTACAGATGTGTATTTAGTATACAATCCACCCCACACTCTGTTGGCAACTGAAGTTTCGGGCTAGATAGGCAAGTGGTACAGAATTGAAAAGAAATAAGCTGTATGTGTATGAGAGATTTTATATGTGAGGTTTTATATAAAAATAGTGGTGTCCTGATGTAGTGACGTCACATGGGACAGACAGACATGAAATATGTTAAATACAATACAATGATAAAGATTCTTGAAAGAGGTAAAGAAATGACAAGACAACATTTGTCTCTATTGGGGAAAATCCTGTTTGCGTGTGTATGCACACAGCTGCTTTGTGGCGTCGCTCCTGCCTTAAACAGGAAATCTGTCGGCCTCAATAACAATGAGCTACAGCCATGACCCCACTCCACCCTCTTTCTCCAACGCAGCATGTGTGCATATGAGTGTATGTACAAGTGTGTGCATTTAGAAAAAAGAGTCCTAGTGGTACGAAGTTGTCTAAGCATTACTTTTTCCACCCATCTTGTGTTTGCCCAAACAGGGCCCATTTCATTTCCTACCATCAGACACATCAGTCCTCGCATGTAGTAGTTTACATCGACAAGAACAGGAGTAAGTGCAGGCATCCAGCTATGTGGCTAATTTCATCCGTTTGTGATCTGATCATCTTCAGCAGACATCTAAATATAGCCTGATGGAGCAAAACTTTCGGTTTAATACCAACATTTCTTTGCATATATGTTTTGATTCACTTTTGCTGTACTAAACTATTCTTTTCTCCCTCCATCCCTCTTTGTCCATCACTTTCAGGCCAGCTCAGGGCAGAGGAGGCTTCAAGCATTTTACTTGTGAAGCAGAGCACTGGAAAATATCTCAGATGCCTCTCATTCCTCTTCAGCTCTCTGAACCAGGCCAGCAGGCCAACCAGCCCGTCTTGCACACATGCACAGACTCTCTGTGCTCATCTCCTCTTACTCTCCCTGTTCCTTCTCTACAACTTCACTAGACTCCTCTTTTGTTTCTCACTATGTCCAACACATACCAATCTTCCATTTTTGGCTGCTTTCCCTCCCACCACCAGCCCACAACATCTACCAATTCCAGGCTTTCTACTCTTTTTTTTTCTCTCTTTCAGTCTAAACCACAAGTTTGCATTGCCTGGGCTCCACGTTTCAGTACTGAGAAAAAGGCAAGCTGCATCAGAGTCTCTGTTGGTTTGTTGAGTCATATAAATTACAAGTCTTGATCTTAAAGAAAGAAACAAAATGTTTGCAGTTCTTACTAATCAATAATTCACACAATTTTCCAGAGAGAGAGAGAGAGAGAGAGAGAGAGAGAAAGTGCTAAGTAACTAAGAAGTTTAAATGCAGGGTGAGGCAGAATTGAAATGGCCTCTCTCCAAGACACCCCTTCATACACTCGGCATTATTACAACTAATGCTCTAATACAGCCCTCCCTGAGAACTAATAATTTCATCAAGAGCTGACGTAATTCACCATGGAAATTGGCACACATGCAGACAAACACATTACATGTGACAATGACATTAAACAATCTCACTGGAATTGAAATACACCTCTACAATCTCTAGCAAGCGAAAATAAGAAAAGCGAAAATAAAAAGAACACTGAAGAGAAAAAAACAAGCAAGAAAGACAATATACTATACTTTTTGGTAGAGCTGAAATAAAGAAACAAAGCTGCCATACCATGAAAAAATGAATAGTGCTTACTTTTTTTTAAATAAAAAAGTGTAATGTGGTATGTAAACAGTGATAAAGTTTTCAGAACATATCGTTCATTCCCAGTCCATATAATCTATGTATGGAAACTAAGCCAAGTCAGAGTGTAAAAACTACACAGACTGCAGTGCATAAAACCTCACAAATGTTATAACAGGACTTGAGGGAAAGTTACAATACAAGAAAAATTAATTGCCTTGCCGAGTTCAGTTTCAGTTCTGTCCTAAACACTCCACCATGGAAATATTTTTAAATATTTAAAATACATGGTTGATTGTATTCAGAGGCACTAAACCAAGAAGGTTAGAATAAAATCTGTGACATAAATGCTTTGTTATTGTTGAGCTCTGTCTGTGTGTGAGAGAGTGTGTTCAGGCTGAAGCCCTTCCCTCTCTGTTTCCTGCAGTCTCCTACCACAGGTGCTTCCCACAAGCTGTCTTTCAGTGCCATCATTATCAAAATAATCAAATAGGCCTGTGTCACCAGATCCCATAATACCGGCCCTCTTCCTGCCAGCATGCTCCTCCCTTTCTACAGTTTCTCGTTTCTCTCTAGAGATTCATGTTTACCTTTATGTCATCCATCCATGTTATTCTTCGTAAAGCATCTAAGGGTTTAAGATGAGACGCAGAGCCTTTCCTCTGACGCCTCCCTGGTTAACAGCTTTATCTCTTTGGCCAGCTCTTATCTTGAGTACTACCAGGTGTACAGACATGAATCCTTTTGTTTGATGAACAACTAGTCTGTGATCAAATCACAGAGAATTTCTCAGTCTACATCTGTCATCTCTTAACTACGTAATTTCACTACAGTTTCAATCCCAGAGCTTTCCTTAGGAGACTATGTACGTCTCCCCTGTGGTCCCCTCCCATTCGGTACTGCGGGAACAAGTTCGGCTGCAGAGTCCAGCACTGATAGGGCTGGCACATTCTTATCATCTATTTATATTCTCAACAACTTTCTACAGCATTTGGGTGTTACTAGCAACAGCAGCTAACCTAAAAGCCCTGCGTTTATTTCTCACTTCCTTATCTCAACAAAAGTGGTTTCATACTGCAGCATAGAGGAGGGGAACGGACAACAGCTGGGGAAGGGCAGGGAAGGGGGCAAACAGAGATTCAGAGGTGTTTTCACTTTGAAAGAAAGTACTCTTTTAGAAAGTTATTTTATTTTGGCCTTGTCTCACTATCTCAACCCAACAATGGTCTTTCTAATTTTAAAATACCATTTGCTTGCTGATCCATCCTGGCCTCCTAGTAATTAAAATCCTTTCTGCCCATGGCCCTGAAGGTGATTACATTTGAGGGACAAGAGAAGCAGTGACTCTGCAGAAAAGCAGAGTTGCTCATCCTGAGGACAAGGGATAAATGAGATGTGGGTGACCAGTCACATTCGGCAACTGCATTTGATAAAACTAGTAATATAATAACAGTAAGGAGTCCATAAGGACTATATCAGCCAATCTCACAGCCACATGTCACAGCCACCGTGACAAACAGCAGACACCAGACCAGTCACAACAGCCTGAAAGACTGTCAAACACACACATAGATTATGTGAGGAATCCTTACAAGTACTTAAGCAAAACTGCATCCATCTCTGTCTCATACATATCTCTTGCTCTCGATCACATAAAATAAACAATGTCTTACATGTGCACCATGCAGAATAAACAGAAACAAAGGTTTGCACAAACATGAACCCAAGCATGCTAACTTGAACAAGGGTCTTAACCAATTTCAAGCCTACTAATTCTCTAAACATATGTGCATACTCATTTTCAAATTTGTGATCTGCATTAAGCTACACAAACAATTCACAAGCATAAACACCACTTACTGCACTCTGACCAAAAAAGGTGTGGTGTGGCTTACTAACTGATGTCAGTTTAAACAACTCTACAACTTGTTTGCATATATCACATTTAGAAAAAACTAAGGCAGTAATACTGAACATTCTGTATGGTGGCATGCACACACAGAGAAAGAATAAAGAGAACCTATATCTATTAAAAATGACTTGACATGGAAACAAAACAAGAAAATTTTGCTGTAATGCTGCAATAGATTTTAAATTAAATACCACCACTGTAGTAACCAAGTTCTTCTGTGGGAGAAACAGAGCAAGAAAGAAGGCACAGAAAAAACAGACAAGTTTGTTAGACATTTTCTTGTGTTCTGGCTTTAGGCCTGACACCTAAGCAAATAAACTGTAACTATTTTCCAATGTGGAACATCTCACAGATTACACCAATTCTTTACCTCATTGCTGAAGCTCTTTAGGACTGAAGTTTCTTCATCTGGGTGCCTTGAACCACAAGCAACCTCACCATCTTTCTCACATGGTCCAGGGACCCCTTCCACTCCTGGTTCACACTCATTTTCACTAAAAAGTCCATGTAAGAGACCTGGTTCAAGTTGCTCCCACTGATCTTGGTATGTGTGTGGTGAGTCCGGCCTTGACCCATCTGAGTCCCAATCACTATCCCCAGTCATTGATCCAAGAACGAAGTCCACTCCTGATTGACTTGTCTCAGACTCTGAGTATAAATCTCGACAAGCCTCACAGGCTGAACCCCCATCAGACACTAGAGGGAGTCTTTCAGGAGCAGC